AATACTCTGCTTAACGAGAGCCAAAATCTATGTAGCAGTTCGTAGGTTTGGCAAACTTTCTTTCATATTTCTCAGTTAGTTTAACCGACTTTACATCGAAAGCAAAGGTCAAAAAGCTCTCAGGATCAAGCCAGGCCGTGGCATTCCACCCAATAGGCATCGGAATTGCTGCAAACGATTTTGTAAGCAGCGATATCTAAACGCAATAGATGCCAAAGTACACAGTTTTTTCGTTCTCTTATCGTCCAGTACAGTAATCGCGCGTTCATGTTGGCAATAGGGGGGCGTGGCTCTTGGGGAGAAAACGCGGCCGAAAGAGTGTGCATTTAGACGAGACATGGTCCGCGACGAAGTGAATGACCATCATCGCCTCGATTAATATCAATTAGCTGCTATCGTTGCTGTTTCGAGCATGCACCTCCTCGTCTTCATGGCGATTTCTATCCCTCGATGAATCATCGCATCCGTCAATGTTCACACCTTCAAAGTACTTGTTAATTAATTTGCACTGTACTAATAAATCTCGCTCTCATTCCCACCTCTGCAATCATTTTTCGCAACAACATATCGCATTTTTACGCTGTGAAATTTTCTTTTTTGAATTCCCACTTCTATCCGATTATCATAAGAACATTGTATTCATCTGCGTAGATTACAATTATCATAAATACTGGCACTATAAAACTTCATGACTATGCGTCAGATTGTATTCTGAACAACATTGAGTGCAAATTATTTCGCACACAATGCTTTTGATACTAATTTACGTTCTTCAAGAGTCCTTGTCACCTTTCTTATTCTACCTCACGACTCTTTCAAGGCTTGCACCCAGGCTCTGCAAGTTAATCATTGCTGCCTCCACTTAGCGAGAGACTCAAAGTATTTTCTCTCAGCAGCCCCGATCGTTTCTAATCTAATAAGAGGGATAAGCCTCATACCATTGCGTACTACTCACCCCCACCAATCGCCACGGCAATAATAGTGCGCTTTGCGCGATACATGAAGCTGCTTGATCCCTTGCGCTCTGCTATTTTCACTCCTCACATCCGTCGCAACGCTCGCCGTCCTATAGCGATGTTAGCAGCAGCAGTTGTAGTTTTCTCTTTCCTCGTAATAGACTTAAAAACGGAACTTTCTTTGGAACTGAACCAGATTATCGCCCATAGCCAGATTTCTGCAGATTAGTTCGTAATTGATAGAATTTGTCAACATATTGTTCAACTATATTCTGAACTCTATAAACTTACATAACTGGTTTAGTATAGTATAGGATTTGCAGTCCCACCAACTTAACTTAAAACTTCCACTGTCTGTGTTGTCTACTGCTGAATGAACTTTAGGATCAAAATTCCAGTCTTGTGAACTTTTTGTAACCTACAAATCTAGAAATCAACTCGTCTACGAGGATAAGTCAAAGCAGAGTAAAGCTTCTGCATTACTGCCATCTTGACGCAGAGACAAATCATGAGCTGCTTTCAAGTCAAATTCGCTAATGGAACGGCGCATAGACCCTTCCGGAGCGTTTAAAACTTCGATAATTCTTCTAATTAGAGGCGGATAGCATTGGGCCACTTTCCCTCTCTTGGGGACCATTATCTATGCGTGGATGTGGATCGGTAGTAAAGACCAGTTTGAGTCTTGCACTTTTCTATAAATTCCATATAATTGGTACTACTTTGAATGTCAACTACTTGTAACAATGGGTACATTAGTGATTTCAACCATTATCCAGCTGTCTTTTTCGTTCTAATCTCACCATGGGCTTTTGAGAGATTAAAAATGTTAGTACACAAGTGTGCATTGGGCTGTATGTTAGTTGTGAGGGCGCGCTGTGATATGCCACAGGAAGTAATCAACGAGCGTTAATAGGCAATGAATTGTTGTAGTGGACCATCGTGGCCAGAAGAGCACAACCCTCAAGTGCCAAGGTTCCGGTTGTATGCTGGAGGTGTGAAGTGACACCAGCGTTGACTAATTGCATTGTAAAGAGTCATTCATAAATCATATCGTACGCCTTGTCCAACCAGACGTTACATTGCTCTGACATTTTTGCAGCCCATAATGTTAGTGACTTACACCTCGCGCTACTTGCTGATGCTTTGTAATGTCTTTTAAACAACCTCATTTGTCTCTGTATTTATACATAAGATGTTCTTCGTGTGTGCCAACGATATTTAATTACTGAATGTCTCCATAGTGATTACCGTCGAAAGAGGTACAAACTTTCTCACTCATAGACGAGAGGCTTTTGTGAAAGACATCGTTCAATAAGAGGCGCTCATGTGGAAGCTGACTAGGGTATCACATTTATCATGACTTCTCTCACTCAACCGCTCCGAACTCGCATTATCCCGTTGGTCTTCTAGCGCCCGCATTAAAGTACACAAGTCCTCGGAAGCCTCTTCCGGTTGATAGTACGATTTTAGCACCGCATAATTCAATTAGTGGGTGTACAGTCCCATTCTATTTTGAGCTGGTGTCAATCCTGCGTATTTATACCCCAAATTGTAGCAACTCTCAAACCGCCCAGTCGCTATCATTACTAGTAAACTAAGAAGCAAATCTGTTCTTGTGCAACAGAAAAGGTGGAAGCCCCGTAAGTCCAGCTGAACCTATGCACACCAATCAGAATACTAATGACAGCGCGCAGCTTAATTAATGCTCTTGACGGGATAATTCACGCCAAATTAATCCCAGCCACACTGGATATTCGTGGAGAGTATGTATGCCGTGTGTGAGAGCATTCTCCTTGCCTGCTGCTCCGCACCGTACCGCGAAGCGCTTCCGCATCGCGTCACTTGTCGTTTTGAGACGTCGCCGCATCGCGTCACATAGTGCGCAATCCGCGCGATTTTCCCACACTCATTACCGTGCGCCGCAACGCGGCAAAGTTCTGACTGCTGCAAGTCGCTGAGTCGTTTTGTGTCTTTAAACTTACCGTAGTACAATTCGGATGCAAAACACCTATTCTTTCGCTTTACGCGGTATTATCGCTTGCTTTATTTAGCACGCGCGCCTGACTGACTCTCTTCATGGGTTATCATTGCTTGTGTGTTCTAATCACATCATGCATCCGACGTGCTTTCCGAGCTGCGTCTGTGATATCCTACTCTCCAAAATTAGATTTGATCGCCTTTGGATCATCCCCGTGGTGATGTGAGCTGGAGAGAGATCCCGTAAGCAACACATGTTGAACTTATTCTATTCCTGGCATGGATCAATAGCGCAAGTGGTTCAAAAGTGACACAAGTAGTGAATGGATGTAGCGTTTGATTTGCAATGGTGATAAATGGTATGTTTTTCGAGGACCGGTGCGCGAGTTTTTTCGCTCGACAATCGTGGGAGGCGCATACAACACATAACGCACCACATTCACACAGACACATCCGAACTGCCTCAGCTTGCACCTGAGTCGCGCAGTCGAGAACGGCGACAGTCGCCGCGATCCGCGGAATTGTCTTCGTGTGTTGTTGTTTGGCCACTGCGCTCATTGGCATTATTTCCCACCGCTGACATCATGCGATTCTGGATCGCCACTATTTTCGCACTGTCGAGCTCTCTCATATCGTAATTCGCCACTAAAACTCCATCGCAGATTGAAATCGCAGCACGTGCGTCCGCTTACCCCCCCCCCCCCGGCTCTCCTCCCCCGGTGCTCGATGTGTTTCTGATGTAACGCACTCGGATTATGCAGTGTTAAATTAATAACCACGATTCTCACTAATGCTGCGCCACCTCGCAATCTCATTAATTTATTCAATTATCGCGGATATACCAACTGAGACTCGACGCTGCCGGCGCTCAATCTCACCTCGTGTCGTGTACTCAGAATTGAACTTTTCAACTCGCTACCTTCGTAGGCCAAACCGAGGGAAGGAAAGTGTCATAGTCGTCGTTAGTTCAGCAACTAAGCAGGTCCAATCCAAGCACTATCCAGAAATCATCAGTTAATCATTGTGACTTCTATTCTATACTGCAATCAGCACAGGAACACTTCTAAATTGCGTCATTGTTCAAGTTAACTTCGTTACATGGCATCATGTTATACATTTTGTCTTCGCTGTTAGCAGACTCTTCCTGCTGCGTCACTTTTTCAGTTTTGTTGTTTCAAGTACTATATTTATTATCTCAGTATGTAGCGTTGCAAGTCTCAAGAATTTTATTGCAAATTCAAATGTAGAAAGAGAGGATCCCGACTTCATTAAAAAAATCATATTTTTGCCTCCAACAGTTGACTCAGTCGTATCTCGTGTTTTCCAGAACTATTCAACTGATGAATAATCGCAACAGGATTATGGCACAATCTAGTTAATTCTGAGCAAAAGAAGGCGAAACCAATTGGATAATGGTTTTACTGAAACTCAAAGATTAATCTCAACTTCAGCGTTTGGTGTCCTCGCCCAACCGTCGAATCAACCCTCTCTCGCCCCTTTAGCTCTACACTAATCTCTCTGGAGTAGTTCACCTCATAAACCGTGAGCAAAAACTTCTAGGGTGAAAGCTGCCCATGATACCTGCCGCCGATAATTGCACCATGTCCGGCGACGTACATATGCAATTTGTATATATACGTGTATGTTCGTGTGTGGCTGACTGGAGGTAACGATCACTAAGTGTTCAAGCGTCCTATTAAACATAGCTCACCAAAACGCTGCATTATATTTAAAACAACGTCGGACCGCTTAATTCGTTTTATCGCACTACGTATATCACTCGTGATTGAGGCCTTCGCCGGTGCTGATTTATGGTGTGGTGAAGCACTTTGCATGCCAATTTCGACGCCCAACAGCCTCGTATACATTGAGTTATAGAGGTTATCGTTTAAGCCATTACCATCATCAAGCAGTTCGCTAATGAACCGTGTCGCCTGACTTTCGCGTCAACTTGTCCTCTTCAACTTCCCTACCTCATATCATCCTATTGTTTCCGTTCACTGCCCGTGCTTGCGTATCGCGTTAATAATAGACATTTGTGTGTGTTGCGGCTAATTAGCGCGTTACAGATCTCATTTGATGTCCGAGCAGGTCTCTCAGGGCACCACTGAGAAGTTCGAGCCATCCAGCATTTTCGGCCAGAAGACCAACGACTTCTCCAACATCATGAACATGGCACAGCTGGTGATGAGGCCCGACATGGCCAAGCAGCTCGAGCAGTTCCAGGTTGGCTCGCCGAACTAGCTCACCCACTTCCACAGTACCTCGCACCATTTGCAGGCACAGTTTGGGGTCACCTCGCCGCTGCTGGTCAAGCCTCCGGTCCCATTTGATAGTCCCTTTGCCATCGCCTCGCTGACAAAGGCTGACAATAAGGAGGAGCGGAGGGAAGAGAAGCCCGGTCCGTCGATCTTCGAATTTCAATGTTCTCAGTTTTTTACGCAATCGTCTGCAACGAAGTGTTTAGTTATGCACGATGCAGCACCCTCTGTGTCCGAACAACGAGATTCGCTAAATATCTCGGACGACGGTGGCGAGAGTCCAGACGAGAATGGAAAACGAAAACAACGGAGGTAAGAGTTCAAAAGTGCTAATTGATCCCCTTAAAATCACTTAAGATCGTTTTCCAGGTACCGAACCACATTCAGCGCTTATCAGCTTGACGAACTTGAGAAGGTCTTCGCTCGCACACATTATCCGGATGTGTTCACAAGGTTAGTAGGCTGAAATTCTGCAAATGGCGCATCAGCCTCTCCAAAATACAGTACGCCCGGATATACAAGGGGGTGTCGCTCGACTTCAACTCTCTCTCGCTCTTTCGGCGCTCAAACTAATCTATTTACGTCTCGACTTTTGTCATTAAGCTCACTTTGTCACATTATGTAATGGCGCAAATTGCATGAAACTCTCACACATTGGTGCCGCGAATATGCTGCTAATTGAGTGTCAATTCGCGCGGATACGACGACGACACGCGACGTTGTCGGTGCACAGCAGCAGCAGAGATTGCAATGATGCCTACGATGTGAGGATATCAGTGTGTGTGTGTGAGGTGCGCAGGAGAACACATTGCTGACATTCCAGTGATGTGCGATAGTGGCGGATAAAAACTCCGAATAGTTTCCTCATAGAGAAAAAGTGGAGTCTGAGCGAGCGCATAACAGCATTTGTTTAGTGAAAAGTGCGCAGCGCTTGCAGATACGTATGTAGCGCGCGATTGTGCGGGTTAGTCTATCTAATGATAACGATACTAATCTAATAATAACATTTCCTAAATTCCTGCTTCTCACTTCAAATTATGCAGGGCTATTGCTTGTGGCAGAGATCCTTATTTGTGCAGAGAGTCACTGAGGTTACCCAGTTTTTTTTTCGTCATCAGATTCAAATTCCAAGCAACAGCTGTCGCGCTAATCGAGCTACGCGGTAATGAGCGACATTCAACGCTTACGGTTTTCTGGGACAAACCTGGACTGTCAGAAGGTTATGGTTGTCTGTCCCTACTATCGTGGAGTCTCCACCTTGCTCTCATTAAATAACCACTTGATAGTTTTATCTAATATCTATGCTATCGCCTTCTGGCCATCAAATCGTTTGCAAGTCCGAAGCAATTAGCGTAACACGCATACGCATCAAATATCGCCCCGGCGTTTGCGTGCGAGCCTAATTGACTATTGTTGATGACTCGACGACTATTAATTATTGCATTTACCTCGGCAGTCCAAGGGTGAGACTTAAAAGCGAAAATCGAGTTGTTATAAATTCATGCGCTTCTCTTCAGCGAATGACAACACATGTCGGTGCCAACTTATCTAAGCGCCTATTGCGCCATGCTGTGTAGAGTTAGCGCGCGTCTCACTAATTGTATTCCCTCATGACAGTATTTTTTTATGAGTTTGTTACCATAATGAGGAATTAGCAGATGACGCTGAATGAGAGAATTTCGAGTTGATAGCGCCGACTAACTGCACTTTAACTCGCTCATAATGGTAATGAGAATCATACGACGGTTGCTCTTGCAGGGGTTCTGCGAAAGACATACCGCCACCTGTTGGCAATCAATTAGCGGGGTCCTTAAATCAATTACCGTACGATTTGAATACTATACGAGGACAGCGATAAAACCTTCTGCAACGCTAATTGACCAAAACTGACGTATAAGAATTGGTGCAAATTCGAAAAGTAATAATGTATGATTTCAGGGAAGAGCTCGCGCAACGTGTTACCCTGACGGAAGCTCGAGTTCAGGTTGGTATCAGTCACAATTTTTACCTAACAGGAAACAAAAATTTTTGGAAAGATTTCCACTTGTTTGTGAATATGTCTAACATCATTTTGCAGACAAATACGAAGTGCCTTTATAACCAACTTAGCATCGTGTAGATCATAAAAAAGTCGATTTGGAATGTTTAGCACATTTTTCGAAGCAAGTCCTTGGTCACCGCAGAAACCACAAAACAAATTACTGATAATTCTCGTAAATGAGTCAATACAATTTTCCCTTTGCTTGTAGAATTTATTCTCATCACTACTTTCTGAAAAAAAAAGTGCAGGACAAATTATTTAAAATGAGATAACTAAAACTAATTTTCAATTATCAGATTGTATGACTTTCGTTAGCTGATCCAAATCATCTACACTGCATTATTCTTTCGAACATTTGCCACGAATTTACTCAGTTATTATCTGATAGAAAAAGCTCGAACTTTTTTCGAATCTTTTTTCGTATTGTCATGAAAGGATGAAGCGATCGCGCAAATATTAATCGTTTCTATTCGCGAAGATTACCATAGATATTGAGTCATTAGTTAACGAGCCATCCATCGCATTATCCAAATCTGCTCTAATAATGATCCCATAATGAACGCTCATAAATGTCATGCTACTACGAGCCCGTTCGATATAATTTGCAAATAGCAAAGTGTAGCATATTTGACCATTTCTACAACGTACCTTTATTTTTAGGTTTGGTTCCAAAATCGTCGTGCCAAGTTTCGCAAGCAAGAACGCAGCAGCCATCACCCATACACACATCCATCGTCAATGGCTGAGCTGCCATATCCGATGATGCTCAATCAGGAGTTGATGGCCGTTATGAATCAACACACTATGAATCATGTCGCACAGGCTGCAGGTGAACCACTAAAATCTCGAATGACTGCTAAATGAGCAAAACAAGTTGTGCAATGAGATGGTGCAGTATATGAACTCCTCAATTGCTCTACTCTAAGATTCTCATAGGGCGACAGTATAATGTAATTTTGGGAGAGAAATAGTAGTTATACTGTTCTCATTGGAAAGCAAGTTAAATGAAAGCCAAGACTCTAGTAAATCTTGCCAATAGAGTTGCTACCATTAGACATTTTGAGCATTCTCAGGTTACTTCCTAATAGTTTGCTACAACATCTAAAGAATACTGGCCTCCAATTATTAAGTCTAATGCACACTGAGCTGATTTCACTGCATAAACACATACTATCTGAATCTCAAATTTGGTATATACTCTATGGCCTAAGGCATACCTGACGCGATTTGACCAAATCGTGACGTCCACGCGACTTGGCGTTCTGCCAAATTTTCACAAATTCGTCGTGGGCGGTTTTTAAAAGCATAGGCGCTTAGCTTTTGTAAGTTCTTGCAAACGATTAAGTCCTTCTCAAACAAAGGGCGAACAATTACAACCAGTTACGAACAGTTGCTTCTGTGCTGAACAGCGCAGCGACGGAAATCGCGTGAGGTATGCCTTATGCGTATGATGTTTTTGGGTACTGGACCACAAGGATAAAAGTGGTTTACACCAGCACGCTTAAATTTTCTGAGAAAGACAATCTGCAGCTTACATATAGTTTCAATAGTCAGATTTTAGAGGCAAAGTGAAGTTCATAAATCCATCAATTCATTTGTTTTTCAGCTGAGTCTCTGCTGATGACGCCGAGCGCGATGCTCGCAGCAGCAGCAGTGCGACGACCACAGTCGCCCGCTGTCAGCTCGGCTGCCTCGGCTGCAGCTGCGGCCGCTGCCGCAGCGACACCGATCATGCCGCCAGCCGTGGCGATACCATTTCCATCGCCACTCATGCAGCAGGACGTGCTCAACATGGTCATGGCTGCGATGCCTCAGACAACGCAGCAGCTCATGTATCTACAACACATGTCGCGACTGAATGAGATGTGCAAACAGCTGGCGCCCGCAACGTCTGCGGCTGCAGCGGTCACGTCTACTGCAGTGGCGGCGGCATCTTCGACGGCGACACCGTCTACCACGACGTCGCCAAGAGTGTCGTCGCCAGCTGCTGCCGCAGCCACCTCTACATCACCGGCGACTTCAACCTCTTCAACGAATTTTTCCGACCTCTCAACCCTGATCAACTCGCCTAGCAAGAACGAGTACAGCAGCCCTTAGAACATATCCTTGTACAACTCGCTCCCTCTTCTTTGTAGCCTATTCAAAATTTTCCTAGGAGAACAAATGAATCAAAGCCGAATCGCCATCGTTAGTCTTTGCCGCTGTCATGTCTGCCTTCGATTAAAACATCATCGTCCACCCGGTGTGTGTTTTGACTTACACTTTGCACTTTCCAAATATACATTTCCCTTTTTTCACAAATACATTCGTAACTCTCTACTAGTGGTATCGTAGGTGAGCGTAGATAGTGCACGTGTTGCTTTATTGCTAACTTATCGATGCGCCTTCAAGCATGATCTCTACTGACGACTAGCAGTAGACATGGATGTGTGAATCATTGTCTCCATGCCTAATTGTTCGAGATGTCATACATTTTCTGATTTTTATTCATTTTCAAATGAAATATAGCTGCATGTTCATACTATGCAACTGACGTAAAATTTGCAAAAACGCCTAACTTCACTATTGAATGAAATTGTATCAGCGTTTCATGTGGAGTAAGCCGACTACACATTATGTTCACATGGCTGATTGTATATCCTTTTCTTACGGCTTAATTTACTTTGTAATTCGCAATAACGCCCATTAAGACAAACTTGTTAGAGCTTCTTGATGCAATAATGTCATTGTACTGCGGTAGTTCAATTTATTTGATTGTATGTTTGAATTAGATGATTCTTTTAATAAATCTCAAAGTCACTTGCACACACATTTCAGCAGATATCATATGTACTTTACAGCTTTTCTGTACAATAAACAACAAAAATGACATAGAATGTCGTCATTTAACAACAGTCATTCACGCAAACAAACTGTACAACAGGGATCTTAAAGGGCAACAGATGGAAGAAGTACTTTGTCACTAAAGATCTGAACCGTATGCTGCGACAGGATATTTCTTGATGTTGCTCAAGCATCTATTACTTTACCACCTAAACGCCTTCTTTTTCGATGAAAGTCCTTGTAAATTACGGTGGGCCACCGCGTTGTCAAGCGCCTCGTAACTCTGCAAAAATGTAGAACTGACTCGTTGGATAAAACATGCTACAAATAACATTTTCAAAATAGCCACATCTTTTGTGGTGATGAAATGATGCAGAGCTCACCGAAAGCTTAGCTATGTCACCATATCCAACTAATGATGGTCGTCCGGCTAACATTCGCTCTGTGATTCGCACCATATCCTCAGCAGTCACTTCATCTAAAACTCAGCTATTCAGAGATCACTGGAAAAGAACTTCTGCGTTTCAGCTAACAATCATCGTAAAACATAGCTCAGTGCTCTAATCGTAGACATGACTTGCTTCAAAAATCACTGACGCAGACCGATTACAGAACAACATAATTACGATAGACTAAAGCCTTGCATTGTGATCATCCAGTACAAATGAGGAAGCTCTCTTGGCTGCTCACCAATTTTTTGCAGGTATTCCTCTGGCTTCCTTCTGTAACCATGACCAATTACTTGCCGCGCGAGATCTTCGAACATCACTGGTCGGACTTCAAGATTCATCATCAGTTGTGATTTGAGCTGGATTTTGGCACTGAAATCATAAAATAGACTTAGAAGTTTCCAAAACATAATTTCATGATATATGATACATACCGCTGAAGCTCCGACTTCTCCACTCCTTTCAGTAATTTGAAGAACTGATCGAGTATGATGATTAGTACATCATTGATCTATAACCATTTAATTTTTTTTTTGAATTTCACAGAAAAGTTTGCTGGTACCTGTTCTGGGTCACTGCTAGCATGGACACAGAATAATCCGGCATCGGCGTAAGAGTGATTGAAAGCTGTGGCTCCATAAATCCAATGGCACCTGACAAAAAACATAAGTTGTTTTGGGTCACTATATAAAGTACAATACCGCTCGTCTTTTGTTGAGAAAAGACGCACAGTTGCCCGATTCACGTGACATCATCGTAGCTGGCCATATCTCGCTTCAGAGTGGACGAATTCTTGATCCAAAGGCACCATTCGACTCAGCTCGATGCCGCGCATTTTCAAATATGTATATAGATGTGCCCGTCTGAACAGTAGGAGACCAAATTTCAAATTTTTGCTTACGGTAAGTGGCTCATTATGCTTATTCATTGCACTCCGTGGCCAATCCACCATAAAGAAAAATCCAAGACGATTCATTAATCTGGCCTCTTACTGTGTTCGAACAGGACTTCTATATATATAAGAAGATGTGCCGCGCCGAGCTGAATCCAATGGTGCTCTTGGATTAAGGAATTCGTCCACTCTGAAGCGAGATATGCCCACAATACGGTGATGTCACATAAGACTGTGCGTCGTTTTCCCAAAAAAAACGATCAGTATTGTACAGGGACATCATTTGCTAAAAATGATGAGCACTACCTATTCATAACGTCAGTGTAAAGACGTGTGTACATTCCTTTACCGGGACCACCGGCCGAAAATGATCCGCCACCACCCAAGAGCATATGCAACACACAAAACGGAACAAAATCCGGATCTCTGCAACTCGTCTTTCATCTACTTTGCTATAAATCGCGATTGACATTATTAGGTCCTACCTATATCCAACTCCTTCAAATCCGAGTGCTATATGAGCTAAATTTGGATAAGAAGTGCCGACAGCCAGTGTAGACAAATCCTTTTCCACCTAGAAATTCGGACTTAAGGATGGTGCGATGCAAAGAAAAGTTGAATCTATTGATAGTTCTTTCTCAACTGCTTCTTCTTCAAAAACTGTGGGCTGAGATGCAAATTTAAATCATAGATGTGTTCTCTGCAACCCAGCAACAGAAACACACCTGATATTTACTTTTCCACTACGAAGACTTCTGACTGATCCATTCAGAACCCTTTTCGGTGATTGCCGGTAAGAATTTAGATTTTAGAAGTGAGAAGTGGGAGCTCTCCTCAAGCCCAATTACGTTCTGTTGGCAAAATAACAAATAGTTTGTGGTTCCGCTGCACCCGCTCACGATGTGTTCATGCTGAATGTTGGCCAAGACTATTTCGGAAGAGACGTTGGCTTAAAATGTTCTACAGCAAATAGTGCGTTATAATGCATGAAAAAACCAAAGGCGTCTTCTTAGTCTTAACTTTCTTTTCTTCGAGCTAAAAACTTTGTCAACTGCAAAGATAAAGGGAAAATTATACTGTACACAAAGCGAGGAAGACTATCGTTAGAAAGCGTACAGCTCTTCGGCTGCAGACCCTTCAGTATGCAGGAAAACTGGACCCCCTTTCAGGAAAACTTCGCGTTTTGTCTTCGTTAGCGCTGAAATGAATAGGACTCATCCATATTGACGAGAAATAGTGATGTACAAGCCTCTCTTGTCTAGGCCACCCGCTCTGCTGACTTTATCGCTTTAACATAATTAAATTGGATACGAAAATCAAATGAAATTTCGTGCACAATGAATTGTTGCAATTGCAGTGGTAACAGTTTTATATTATCACTTCATGATTTGACACGCTTGACATACACGATCCAGAATACCCATGAACAACTACTGAGCAAGAACAGAAAGCAGCGCCATTCGGATTTGAAGGGATGAAAAACTGGAGCAAAAAGTTCTTCTGCGAATAAAAATGCTATTATGGCTTCTTCCTACGATTTATTGTCAGGACAAACTGAATTGTTCACAAGAAAGTATCGCGTTATGAATAGGATTGTTAGTATGACTTCACTTCGACATAACCTTAGAGGAATACCTCACTTTAAGAGGTTACTATAGTGTACTTTGTCTACTTATTATCAAAGACTTGCACTCTAATAAAACAAGCGACAGACCTTGACAGTACTTGACTTATGGTGTCCAGTATGTCTGATAGCCTAAAGGCTCTTACTAGTGATACTCATTATCGTTTGACTGAAAGAACTAACTAAAGGTACTCGTCAATGGATACCCGCACTGCAACTTATTTCTCCGATATCAGGGGCAAGATAGGGTTCAAACAGATATGAACCCTCCAAATCAAAAAATTCATGTATAGAAAGTAGTTACAAGGAATGGAATGGAATGGTAAACACTACTTTGAAAAGTGTACGCATGATTTCTTAATCGTTGAGGTAATACTGAAACTGTAGTTCTTGGATTGAAGGTATTTATTGTCCGCTGTCCAGCTTTGGAGTAAGTTGGAGCAAGAGCAAAAAAAACGCAGTGTCACAGAATTCTTGCAGAACTATGAACTATAGCAATTAGTGATCGAAAAAGGCGATGATAGAAAATACAAAAAAATTTACTGCAACCATCAAAACATTGGCAACTAGAAGATCATATTCTCAATGGATTTGCTGAATGAGTAAATAATTCAGCGGTTCTGCTAGCAATTTAGCAAAGTCAAGTCACAGCATAAATGCTACTTTTACTTCCTCACATTTCATACTCTCAGGTTAAATTTTGGATTGCAAGAACCTAAGATTGTATTTTAGTGATCTTCACTACTCATGTGGCACCAGGAAAAAAATGGCATATGAACTTTTTTTCATGGGTAATCATACTCGGCGTCAGTAACGGAAAGTATGTACCATTGCTGTGTTTCAAACGCTAAATCTTAATCACTGACGATTGATAGAAGTAGGTTTCATTTTCGCAAAATTGCATGATTCCCGATGATCATCTGGCTCTCAGATTTCGACTACTACCAGTCTTGAAATTATTGATGGGATGCTCTGTACTGACAAAACGTTTTTACATAGATGAATATCGCCGCAAAATATATAGATTTTATACAAACCTTTCTAATTAACTGAGAGTGCCGGTTGAGATGAGATGTACACAATAACAGTGAAGACCCAAGTCGTACCAGTGATTTGAAAAAATCATTATTAGATTGGCCAACAAGTTTTGCGGCGATATTCTACAACCCTTCAACTTTTGTAACGCATCATTTTTTTTTTGACAGTACACACCATGCTGTTAGATACGGATGTATTCAAACTGTTTGATTTTCAAAGCAGGACAAAAAACTGAACGGATTGAGAAGTATTCTTCGAGGGAGAGGATCAAGCATAAAAGAAGTCGTTTGCATTTTGACCTAAGTTCTTGGAACAGGAACTATCGAAAAAGCTTTCTGGAAACGAAAGTTGCACTCTGTTGAAAATCCATATCTAAATCACTGATTTCGGATCTTTAGTATGTTATGATTGGATGGGCATCTTTATCGTAAGAAGTTTAGTCCTTTAGAACTGCAACGTTGAGGGGGGTTTAAGTATCAAAATTCACCAGCTCAGCCTAAGGTGCGTATCCAAAAATTTTCCAACGTTTCTAATGAAGGAGACAAGCGCATTCATTAGAAACCACAACAACTGTTTTGGTGCCATATATCCGACATATTCGCATGCATCTGACAGCTTATTTCTCTTATTATTATTTTCAATTGTAGAAAAAAGGACCCGGTAGCAGCATTTCAAGGAGCATTTGATCATGCACGTATCCCTTCGTATAAAAGCGAAGCGAAATCCTTCCTTTGAAAGCTACGAAACCAATACTTTTGCGTCTTCTACACTCGCGCAACAACTCAGACAATCGATCGGACCCCTCCGCCGGACCCTCGGAAACTGCCAGGGTCGCGCCGGACCCAGTTGACCAATGAGAGAAGGGCAAATGGGCGGTCCATCGCGGTGGCATCACTGGCAGGCAAATGGGAGGCTTCTCCGGCCCTGCTGCAAAGGTCCGCCATTTCTCCGGCGCGACTCTGCCAGATTTGACGGATTCCGCGCCGCAGAGGTCTGCGCGGCGCGTGTCCGCCAAATTTGGAAGAAATGGCGGACAAAATCGGAGGGGTCCGGAGCAGAAATGGGAGGTATCCGGAGCAGAAAATGGGAGGTATCCGGAGCAGAAGATGGGAGGGCTCCGCCGGACAAATGGGAGACCCACCGCTGGGGATACGCCGCGACCCTGCCACTTCTCCGGCGGAGGGGTCCGATCCGCTGTCTGAGAATAACTAACTAGGGAAAGATCCCGAATGGCGATCGGAACGGAATGCATATCAATAGATAGGTATTGTTGAGCCGAATCAAAATCTGACTTCCGTAACTGCTGCGGGATTCTCCGGAGAAGTTCTAAGCGCCTGTTCGGTGGCACACCTTCAAGAAATAGTTACTCAAAAGCACTTACTTTTGTTCCTGGTATGTATTCCTTGCAGTCAGCACACAATCCTAGCCAGTTATATAGGGTGTTCCAAAAAAATTGTGCACACTGCTTGATTGTTAATAACTCGCTTGCTTCAATGTTTTCGCCGATCTTTAGGTACCATTCTGTAAAGCGAGGTTCAACTTAGATTTGCAGTATGGAGCAAAACTCCGATCTCCCTTCGTAACAGTAGGACTACGGTAGGGACCTTGAAGAGGGTTTTAACCCATAAAAGTCGCATTTCGCCCCGGAGAGGGAACCAAACAAGCCAGAAACTTTAATACTAGGCTAATTAGAGTTGCTGATAACAGATATGCAATTTGCATATTACGGTCATGCTTCCTTCATAAGTTCTTTCAAAAAAAGTAACAACTGCTCTTCTAGTTGTCTTTGAAAATGTGATTACAGCTAGTTGTCTTTGAAAATGTGATTACAGCTCTGAAAAGGCTCAGAATTTTCCTAAGAAGTTGCATAATGAAATCAGCATGCTAAAAACCCTACTACAAATTTCCGGAGTTTCTCGGAATTTTTTTTTTACTGAACGACCTATTTCACAATGGCGCTGCGTGCTGAAATTTGATACTGTAATCACATAGTAGCGAAAAGAGATAGGAGTTTTGCTTCATACTGTAAATCTAGGTGAACCTCGCTCTACAGAATGGTACCTAAAGGTCGTCAAGAGACATCGAAGCAAGAGAGTTATTAGCGATCAAACAGGTGCACATTTTTTAGGCACTCTGTATACTCCTGACTTTAACTAAAAACTTCACACTTTTAACCGCTCATAACCTCTTCCAGAAAATCCAGCAGCAGATATGGAAAGTTATCTGAAACCAGCTCATCAAGACGCACCTAATGACGTGCATCATTCCAATCCTCCACTGCGAGAAGAGGTCCTCCCCTTGCCAGAAAAAAGTCTCCTCAGTACAGGACGCTGCTTACTGACAAGGGAAGGACTCGAAATTGAAGTGGGCTTTCACATGAGATATGTGCCAATATGAAGAGCCCTGAACGCTCATTACAATACTGTCTTTGTTATCTGCCAAGCTTCTCTGGGTGCCGAGTTTTGAGCTCTCCAGCTCTAAGTAATGAACATGCAATTAGAGCTAAATCGTTCAAAATTGCGCAGACTTCCCAGTGTTGGATATCAGAACATTCTACGTATTAAATACTTTTCATGTAATACACTTCAACTCAAACTGCTTTGTCAGAGCACTGGAAAGGCCGTAACAATTAATTTTACCTAGATTTTGCGTTCATTTTCTTCCCACCAGAGGAGACTGACAAATGATGAAAGCAGAGACAACAGATTTAGCATTAGCGTTCAATGCTTTTCAGGTTGGTACTGATTAAATAAGAACCGTACTTCGATTTCGAATTATTCCCTTGTAAGACCCGTGTTACCTAAGGCCCTTGAGCGTACTTTACACGATTTCAGTCGCCAGGCAATCTGGCAATTTGCCAGATGTCTTCAAATCCAATACTGGCAGACCCCTAATACACAGCATGTATGACTTTCGCAGGTTGATAAAATGCCCTGTCTCGTACGTTCTAAATCCCCTTACGATGAGTTGAGAACAATTGGAGGATGTATTGCCAAATCGAGTCACGACTGAAATCGAGTGAGGTATGCCCAGGGCCTAAGTTACCGCAATCGTATGCAGGTGCAGGTGCAATTTTGGTGTTGTGCGTGCGCAAAACCAGACAGAGATCTATAGAAATTTCGGGGGGTTTTTTTCTGACGGTTTATTATACAATAGGTTTGATGCGCGCTGCTCTTTGCAGATTTCTGTAAAGCGAAGAGTAAATTTTCTGCATTTCCGGATGGTAGGGCTTGTCGACGCCTTCTTCCTGATGAGGACTGGAAAAAAAACCACATATCACGCTACGACTTTCTGATAATGGAACGTCTATACGGCTTCTGAATGCTGTGAATCCAAAAGCACTACAAGCAGCATGCGATTTTTTCTTCCATTTTTTTTCAAAGTGTAAGATTCAACCTGATCAACCTTATTGAGTTCACGTGCTGATGCAACGTCATCCTGATCGCAAAACGAAAAAAAAACTTTAGGAACAACTTTGGCCCCGCAATGATGTGAACGAGCTAAAGCTCACAAAACTGAGGCGCATATGAGTAAATCGGTGAGCTGTGAGGGTAAGCAAGATGGCACAAATATACCCTAGATGCACCTTCAGCAGCCTAGTGCCAAGCCCGATAGACTGTAGTCTAAGGCCCTGGCCAGACTTCGCTCAAAAGCGCCCAAAAGCGCTCAAACTCCTCTAACCTCTCCTCACTCTTTCCTATCTCTCCTCACACGAGAAGGTGAAGAGACACCAGAGAAATTTGTGCGCTTTTGGGCGCTTTCGAGCGAAGTCTGGCCAGGGCCTAAAAGATGACTTCAAACGACTAACTGGAAACATTGTCTACAATTAACACGTTGACGACGAGCCATTTTTTTGCGGTCTGTCCCTGTGGACGAGACGTTTCCATGCATCCCTACGCGTGGCCCATGTATGTATGCATGCATTCATGCACGAAGTACAAAATGTGCAAGCCCCGCCCCTTTGGCAAGCTCCGACCACTCGACCAAAAATGTCGGAAAGTGCCCAAATTTCAGGAATATATGCGATTTCCGCCACTTTTGAAAAGTGGGCGGAGCTTGCCACTCAGGGGGAGGAGCTTGCCTGGCGGTGGGCGGGGCCTGGCTAGAAGTTGCTTGAAGTCTTTGCGTTCATCTACAGCCTCATCCATGCCTTTTGTGGACAAAAAGGATCCTTGTGAGCGGCATAAAAGTGGGCGGAGTTTGCCAAAAGGGGCGGGGCTAATACATGAACTACATCTGCCATTGCGCGGCACTGTCGTCAACGTGTTAAAGATTATGGCGCATCATTCCTCACAGAAAAAATTTCCCGTTTTTGTTTCTATCACCTTCTAGTGTATAGACAGAATGAATGCGGGCCGAGCCATAAACAACCACACTTTGCCACAACCACATGTTGCGTGATGACTAAAATCGCGCGAAGTATGTGTAAACCATGGATATTGCTTAGTATCTCAAGCACAGTAGCCTAGTAGAGGCCCGCGACTGTAAACGCTAGTGAAACTAGACGAGAGATCGGCACAGAACACACAAACTTCGAAAGTACAACAACCATGGCCTTTATGGGTCTTTCCGAGTAAGCCTACGATGATACGCAGCGTACTCAAGCGTCTCGCGAATTCGCAATACCATTGCTCTTATAATCTGAGTTCTTCAAATGTGAAGCAAATTTGGACACAAATTCGAAATACTTTCTGTGAAATTAAAATGACGCTACACCGATGGCACAACACTATTGGAATGGTACCGTGAGTAAATGATACTGAAGCTAGTGTAGGGAACTGATTTCCTGATTAGATTGCTACAAGGAGCGAATTGTATGAGAGCATGAACGGATTGAGAAAGCCTGTAGCTCCATGGATGATCATAACCGGGACGGATGGGAAAGAAAGAAAAAGAGAAGGAAGAGATTCACAGACTGTGAATGGAAGCAAAAACTTCAACGCGAAGTACAAAGCTAAAAGTTATGCCTATAATACCCACCCGGACTTCTCCTCCTGTGTACTGAGCGACTGAACAATCTAATTTAGGCATCATCGGTAGCAGAATTTCTGGATGCTTCTCCCAGTTAGCAGTTCCAGGGGAGAAATATCGTTCAACAACAGCAACGAGTTCATCGTGATCCACACCGACACCTAGTAAGTGAATATAAGTGAAATTTATATACCAACTCAACATAACTGAGTTCTACCTGCGACGACAAGACGTTCTGGTGCGTGATACTGACTGATGTAAGAGTTAACGTGTTCTTGATGAATGTTTGACAGCATTTTCTCATTGGTATACTTTGAAAATCCTAACGTATTGTCCCGGAAAGCAGCCTAAAACAATGGGAAAAACTCAAAATTTCCAACAGCATCGATTTCTTCAGGTTAGTACTTTGTGCAGCCAGTCCGTCAACAAGGGTTCGGTGCTTTCGATCTTGCGTGGCATGTCGTCGTTCTCGTACTGCACGATCATTTTCGCTTCCTCCAGCTTTAAGGTACCGAAGTCATCAATGTACAGCAAGCTCTTCCATATACGCATACCTCTTCCGCAGTGTTCTTTGCCCGCCATATAGCATTTGCCAGAACCTCCATGACGGGGTCAAGACCGGATATGTGGCAACTAGCAGCATAAATGAAGGTATCCTAAGATGAAAATTCATGATGAAGATTTGAAGTTTCTTTGGCTCACCCTAGTACTTTGACAATCAATCAGACCACCATTTTCTTGGAGAACTTCATAGATCTTATCTCTGGAAGAATGCCGAGTTGTTGACTGAAAAAGCATTGTAAATGAACTGCGATCGCAAAACCTTAGAAGACATTTATTTATTTATTTATTTATTCAATACGCACAAGGCGTGCCATATTTGAAACAAAAAACGAATACTCAGAGCTTGAACAGTAAAGAAAATAACAAAACATCCCAAAAGCTCGAGTCCAGCTCCGTGAATGGGAAGGGGTAAGCCTGTGGACAGTGTATGAATATCAGTGCAGATGCTCGGTGGAGTCTGTCCCATGCCCCCTGCTTACAGCAAAAGTGCTCTTAGATTATTCAACTTAAGCAATGTATATGCGGGGAACAGATGTAATACTGAAAATTTGCCCGACTGAGTTCGGGGGAGAAAGCAGAACTCCGAGATAAAAGATTGTGATACAAAAAATGTCAGGTCAGACAAGACATGCCAAGAATCTCAAATTTTCGAGAAAAAAAAGCAGGATAGTCCATGTAAGCCATGCAAATTTGTATGATTATGGTTACCAGTGTAAGAGATATGCAAAAGACACTGGCAAACTTCTGGCAACATGGAAAGCATGATAACTGTGCAGACTTCTGAGCATGTCTACATAATTACTCATGTTAAGGATCTGAAGAGCCAATGCACCGTTGAGATGAGACAAAAAAACATGTAAGGGGATGATGGCCATAAGATACAATAAAGCTGAGATCAGTTCCATGTTGAGTTAATACTCATTCCTCGTCATCATTATTTTCCAAAGCCTCAAAGAGCTTTACGCAATGCCTCGAATCACATCATTTCAATAGTGCGCACACTTCTTCTAGGAACGCATGTTCATGATTTAGAACAATAAACTTCCGAAGAGATCTTCATTGACAGTGTTAGGCAGCCCGATTAGTGCGCAAGTGCATACAAGCAAAAGGATACTATTTTGATATGTTTCGAAAATCGTTGACCCTCAACAACTCGTCTCCACTCTAACAAGCTAATAAGATGGAATATGGCCCAAGTACTATAGCCTAAAGGGTATCACAACATGAGACTGGTGGTGCCCGTTCCGTGCATAATGATAAAAGAGAGGGTTGATGCGCATCACCAAGTTTTTGAAGTTTCAAATATCTAGGGCAGGAAAGTCAAAGTAAGCAAAATAAATTATCTCAATGTGTTACATTCAGCGTGCACTGATATGCAAATACTTGATAAAAAATAAACTTTCGTACAAAAAATGTTAGGAAAACCCAAAAAATTCTGGACATAGCAATCCAATGAGAAACTCAGTTCGGAACAGAAAGGATACTCACCCCGAAAGCCAGCTTCTCTACAATGTGAGAAATTCCGAGCGGATATCCAGCTTCATAACGACTACCACTCTCGATGGCAACTGAAGATGGAGGAAATCGACAAAGTAAGAAAAAAACAAAAAAGACAACTGCAAGCTATCAAAAACAGAAAAACGTAGCTCGCACCTCCGATAGTACAGTACTCTCCATAGAACGGTTCCGAGGCAACCCGTATCTTGGACTTCAGCTCCGTTAGCTTCGTATCAAATGGCACATAATTCAAATCCTTTACTGATTTTGCAACGACTTCACTTTCCAAAGCAGTGCAGAGCGGTACCTTAGTGATGTTCTGAAAAGTCCATACTGATAGGCAAACTGGGAATACAGAAATTGACTCTGAACACCGCTTCATTATCATGCGAAAATATTAGACCACCGCACACGGAGATCCTTATAGTAGGCCGTCGACGTCGATATGCACCGAAGAGGTATCCGTCGCCACAACCGGCTCAGCATAACTACCTGAAGTTAAGGTACATGAAAATACAAGATAGCGAACTGAAATAAACAAAGAACGTCAAGCATGGTCACGAGGGGCGAAATTTCAGTACATCGATGGTGAAGAGCTATGGAATACAAGCGAATTTAGATGTCAAGAACAACAGGAATAATAAGTCTTGACACCACAGCGTACAGAATGAATGAAAGTTTCAATGTTATACCATACTCGGACGAGATGTGTGCTGCGCTATAGGCGACTCATCGTACGCAGAAAGAGCGTGGTTGCGGACGCCGTGCGCTTTCTGATCAGATGCACTCTCATTCTCCTTCGCCTGCCGCCCCTCCCAAACACAACCTGTCTCATTTGGACGCAACGAAGTCCAGTCCTTGCGTGGATGACCTATGTTCCTCACCTTACAAGAATACATCTCTATTTGCCTCTGCACTGATTCAAACATATCCAATATGTACGAAAGATGATGATGCAAGAGCAAAATGGCAGCTGCGTACTCAGAAGTGGTACAACAGAAAGAGCGTGTTGCACATTCTACGTTATGCCGAAATCAGGAACAGTACTAGTAAATTCTATGTAGTCGAGAGTTCCAATGGGCACAACTCCTACAAGCATTAAAAGAGTATTCCATTCAGTGAAGAGCTTAAAAGTGAGTGCCTCGCTCAAAGGATGATACAAAATAGGAGGAAATTCAGATGCCGTTTATATCGCAAAATTTTGAGGTAGGAGTACCGCTATATTACTCCTGAAATCAAGGTATAATAAGGCTTCACCTACAAAAACCCAATCTGGATGAAGCAGACGTCAAATGGGCAAGTGTGCGAGTGCACAAACCGCGTGGCAGCAGACGGCATGCGCGCCCGCAATGAAAGAAGATCGGCGAGGTCCAGTTCCTCCGTTCCACCCGAAAATAGAGTACGTGTCGTATGCATGTGCAAGAAGTTCTTTTGATACGACTTCAAATAACTAAACATTTAAATCGGAATGCTGTAACCGTTGCCGGACATGAATATAAGTCTTCAGAGTGAAACCTCAGCCATAGGTAGGCAAGAGTGTAGCACACAACAGCCAACATGCGACCTCTTGCTCCCCCCCCCTTTTCTCGAATCGCGTCTCATTAGGACTCTCCCCCACCCTTTCTCTTTCCCAATTTGTCTGCTAGTCAAGTTCAAAGCGGGATTACGGTAGGTACCGTATATCGCAACTCCACAAAGGTTTTCGTAGACATACGGTTGATACCGCATCTACGGTAACCCAGGAAAGGCGCTATCATGGGGATTGAATACAGTTATTAACACATGTATGGGGAGTTTTTATGTTTTAGCGGAATGGGGCATTCCAAGTGCTTGAGCAACTGTCATAACAATAAATGGAAGCAAATCAGGCTCACACTCCCTCAAACCGCGATTTAAGGGCCGGGCATACTTCACGCGATTTCAGTCGCGACGCGATTTGGCAATATTCCAACTGTCCATAACTCACCTTAGGAACATTTTAAATGTATAGGAGATAGGGCATTTTATCAATCCACGTAAGGTACACACACTATGCGTGTGCAGTTTGCTAGCGTTGGATATGAAGACTTCTGGCGAATTGCCAAATCGCGTGAAGTATGCCCGAGGTCTTAGGCTGCTTACATTAGATGAAAGGTAATTTTTATCGGCCTTTCTGGTTGTTCAGTAACAGCCGATAAGTTTACCTCAAGATAAGGACATACGTCCACCTTCGGCACTACTAAAGACTTTTCCTTTTTATCATCGTTTGTGCTCAGTCTCTCCACCAGTGTTTTGGCGACCGATGTACGATCTGACAATGAGTCTTCTTCAGGCGAGGAGATGTTCTATCATGTGGACGACATCATCCTAGTCATGGACCTGGCTGACAGACATCCGTGATTGCGAAGTCTTCTTGATTGAGAATTGGTGGGCTCAGACTGATTTTCAAAACACTGTTTGAAAGTGAAAAACTTTTTGAGGGAACTACCTGTCCAAAGTCGCAACTCTTCCTTAGGACATTCTTAGGAGTATTATGCTATTACCTGTCACTGCTATTGCTTCGCTCTAGTAAAAGATTATAGAAATCCTGATAGGGATGAAGTACAGTGAAGTCGAATTTTCAAAACATAGACAAAAGACACTGCATCCAAGCAGGATGGTCTGATACAATGAATAGTGCTATTATCTCAAGAAGAAACATCCCCCTCCCCCCTTCCCCATTAGGTTCACTATGGAATGCGAGCATCATTTCGGCGCTGAGAAGCTGTGATTGGAGCTCTCCACAAAACTTTCCCATCAAAAAAGAGATGTGATTACGGCACTCACTAACAATAAGTACTCTATATTCTGACGGTAGCCGTCCACTTCTATAATCCTTCTATGCCAATGGAACCATTGGGGTCGCTCAACAGCCAGCATCTCCTGCGAAAGATGGGTAATGAAAGATGGCCGCCAGCGGACTTAGGAGGTTGATGGGATACAGTCAGGATTATTAAAGAATGGGGTTGTTAGAAAACGGCATCACTGAAAGACAACCGATTTATCCTTCGCAGGTTCAGAGACTTTTGTACATTCTTACGTCTCACGTTCATCGCGAGCATCATCGCGCACCCCGTGCGTGCCCTCAGCTAACTCCCATGTATTCGATAAACTACCGACGAAGTCCACCTCATGATCCCGAAGGAGATGGCGTCAATTCTATGTGGTGGGAAAAAGGGCGACTCCCAAGCTGACTCAGGGGTGGTCCTATCTTGCAAGACTGACGCAGGGAGGAATTTCCTAATACCGCAGCTACAGTCTAATGCCCACGCGCTGCGGATGCGCGGTTGCAACGGACAAGGAAGCATGTGGTTGACACAGGTTGTATAATTATATTTGGCAAAGCGATGCAAATTTAAAGAATTTATCCGTGAAATGGAGCTCCATACGGCATACCGTAGATTCCGTTGCCACCGATCAGCACCTACCTCCCCTTACCTGGCAGATTCAAAATTGATTTTGTCCCATCTATTAGGTTGGCAAAAGTAATGGCCGATTTGCGAATTCTCACTTTGACGTGCTATAACTTTTTGAAAGATTCAAATCTCCGAATGCGGTAACGATCATCAGAAGCAGCAAACCTTCCGCAATACAGCGCACATTTACTTATATTGATGTCACGAACGGGCAGAAAAATATGGATTGAAAAAGAAAAAGGTTCTCCTGTTAGAACCTTCAAAGTTTGTTAGTATGAATGATAAGTGGCCTATCTTGTAGCCGCAAGCCAAAGTAGTACAAAATGCAATAAGAATTTGAATAAAAAAGGGCGAGAAAGAAAAAAGTTAAAATTTAAAATTTCTCAGTTTTTTCAATATTTTTCAGTGTGCCTCAAACTCCCGAATATAGATCTTTCCGATCTGAGCAGTGAACAGCTGGATGTTTTTGCAAAAACTGCTGATAGGATGCGCTAGCATTACGCTTACATAATTGAGCAAAGTTTTGTCGAATGACTTCTTCAAAAAAAATTTATGGATCATAAAATGACCGCAATGTCTACCGATGTTAAGAAGCCGATATATCAGTCCGGATAACTTCAAAAACACAGTTAAGTAGGCATGATGTAGGCATTCCTATGGCATACAATAGCTAAATTTTCGAAATAGCGCCATCCATAGGCACTCGTATTCCGACCAGAAAAGTGAATGCAACAAAATTCAAATTTGGATGCTGTTATTTGTAGCTCAGTAACTTTATAATGGATGAGAGTGAAAGCCCGCTTCAACCAGCATTAGATAGAGCATGAAAGCAGCTTCTCAGTGGTATGCTACATCTGTCTCAAAGGAGAAATTTTGATGGAAAAAATTGGCCTGAAAAAAGGCTTGCAAAATCGGCCACTACTTTTGCACCAACCTAATAAATCCACCTTAATTAAGAAAGTAGTGCTGCTGTGCGGGATTGAAGGCAGTGGCTCCGCAGTTGACAAGTTTGGGATATTCATTGTTCTTAACTCCTCAGGATGAACGTCTAAGACTGTGCTTTCCAGCTTTTGAGTCTAATTACTCGTTTTTTCGGACGTGGAAATTGCTGTTTGGGCGGGCAGTGAAACCTCTCCCCCCCCCCCCCACCACTTTGTAGAACATTGGCTGCTGGAGTCAAAAATTCAATTGCCGCCGAGATGGGTACGGTGTCTCCACTCATCCGCACTCCACGAGCCAATCCTTCTTTCATTCATTTATTACATGGGGGGGGGGACCCATGTCAGGTAACCAACAAATAACAGTCAAAGAGAACAATATCGTGAAGTGATATACCTTGATTAACAACATCGAACCGTGTTAGTAACAACATCAACTATCGGACTGCAAATAATCCTTCAAAATGTTTTTGAATAAAGATTCTTTAAAATGTTCTTAAAAAGGCAGGCCCGCACAAACAGCACTTTTTACACCAGGAAAGCAAGTTATTGGTATCTCTTGGAGCCGTAAAACACAGTTTTGCACTTACAACGGAAGGATACTTGGTGACCGCGGCCATTCGTAATGACTTGTATATCAAAAAATGCGGCTTCTAATGCTGGTTCGAATGCTGTCTTCCATATCTGCGAAACGATAATCTGGATGGAGTTATGCTTGATTTTTCATGAATAAACTGCGCTGCTGCGGAGGCCCAAAATTACCAAAAAAATTTCATCCCTTTTCAAAAGCTGAATATGATTTAGATAGGTATAATAGAACAACATTCCTTCTAAGATTCTCTCCTATAGCTTCAAACGAACCTAGAACAGATCTGGTGATATCAACTACCTAAAGGTACGCAGACTTTCTACGAAAAAAAGCTCATAGCTTCCTTCAGAAGATCGTATTGCAGATATCGAGCAGAGTGTAGAATCAGCGTTTCGAGCTGCATCTTACGATGCATCTTACATCGCATTCTCAATGGCCACGGTCACCGATTATCCTTTCCTTGGTAGCTCATTCAAGGGAATCGCCAATTTGCCGAGCCGCTGAGTCGTGCACAGCGTGCCAAGTAATGTTTCTAGGCAAGGTCTGAGCAAAATCAGAATTTAAATCATTTCTTTGTGCATTAATTAATGTGGAGTACCCGTAACATTCCTTTAGTTTTTTTTTTTCAGACACGATGAAGAAGCTAGCAAAGGGGCTTTGCACGAAAAATTTTTGTTTGTGACCATTCGCATGTTCAGAAATAAGAGAAACAAACCGTCGTTTCCCAAAGATAGGTGGAGGATTGATTAGTAAACCTTGGCCGCTATAAGTGAATCGGGCAAAAACATTGATAGATTCTCTAACTCAATATTCTTACTGCTTTTGAGTTCTCTGTTCTATTTTGAAATCACTTAATATGGAATACTTTCAGCGGAATCAGTAAATTTGCTTTCGAAGGCAGAGTCTTCATTGAAAGCGAAGGCATTTGAAAGAGAACTTCAAAACAAAGCTTTATCCTAGCCTTCCTTTCCTTTATCAATCCGGCAACGAGTACTCATCCGCTTTCCTTTCTACAAAAAAAAGTCATATTTTTACAAGTACATGCGCTCAGATCATTTTTGATCAAATTTTACATAATTAACAAGAGGAGCTCCTCGAAATCTTAATCTTTCGCAATTAAGAAACTATTGACTATTGGCTTGATCACCACGAAGGGTTGACTCCAACTTTTGGAGATCTGAAGCAGGGAAACTCCGTTTTTCCACTATTTCATGTACTGTTTCAAAAAAAAATCCGAAGTCGACTTGGGCCATCCCTATTATCTTAATTTGAGCTTTCCTGAAGGGAAATGTGAGGGACTTCCACTATCAAAAAACTCATCTGATTTTGCGCGATCTCGTGCTCAATTTTAAAAATGGTTTTTCCTACGTGTAACACTGTAGAGCAGCTCAGAAAAATTGAAAAACCTAATTCATTTCTCTGTTCAACGCAGATATATGTCACAAATTCGTGGACTCCTCTTTAGAATTGACATTCATTATTTTCGTGGTAACCAACAAGATGTAGCTCATCCACAGATTTTATAGAAAGGAAATGACTGTTCTCCGCATATGAGCAGCCGGAATGGAGCGGACTAGGCTCAAAACCAAACTCACTCCAGTCAGTGAGAGACAGAACCCGGGATCGGAAATAACCGTAATAGGTGATAGTTCACAACTCGCGATTACAGAGGATGGTAAAGAACAATTATAGAGCTTCCATAGATCAGAACTGCGTATGCATCAGAAGTCTGGCTTGTACTTCCCCTCATTTCAGCAGCGACATTAAGGCCCGTATGCACGTACATCCCCGCTGGGGAGGGTAGAGGATATACTTGGGGAAATTCGAAATTTTTTTCGAATATTCGAATATCGAATATATTCGAAAATTGAAAATTTCGAATATTCGAATATCGAATAATATTCGAAAATCGAAATTCTCGAATATTCGACTATCGAATATTATTCGAAAATGAAAATTTCGAATTGAATAATATTCGAATATCGAATGTCATTCGTTATTCGAATTTCGAATATTATTCGGTTCTCGAATGTTATTCGATTTTCGAATATCATTCGATTTTCGAATACTGACCGAATAATTTACGTCATTGAGATGCCTATGAAAGACCAAAACACTAAGAACAAATTGTTTTATGTAAGTGCTAAGAATGGATACATTCTTATGGTACAATTTACGATGGAAATACGGTTTAGTCGTGACGTGAAGAGACTTAGGAACTTGAAAGCTACTCCTGTGACGGTTGTGAAGAGATTTTTCTACTTCAAAGAAGATTATATACCCTCATTGAGAGTTGCGATTGGATGTTGCGATTGATGCGATTTATCAATCGCTTTTCACTGTTGTAAAATTACCGTAAGACTGAAGCAGGTTTCAAAACATCAAGAGCCATTTCCCCAGGAAAATGAATCAGGGCTGAAAGTCTTGCTTTAGATTTCTAAAGACACTCACTTTATGTAGAAGCACTCAACGGTAATGCTTTTTTTTTCAAAACTTACGCCAGGTATCCTGTTTCCCCCAGAAAAGTTCCCATGTGAGCCAGCCTGCGGTGCGACGCTGCCTTTCGCTCTTTTTGACACGTTTCTCCTGAGATTTCAACGGAACTGCCCGAGGTTAACACGTTCAAAAGTGCGAAAGACAGCGACATGACGTGGTACCTATGGGAAATTTGCTGGGGAACAAACGATACAGCGTAACAAATGTTTTGCAATGCCTTTCAAAAATGTGATTGCCATTTGAAAAGCTTGAAAACTCGTGCGTAGTAAAATCAGCATACGTAAAAACACTGCTGCACAGATTTTAGACCTTTTTTGGCGACAATTTTTTTGGATGTCTTATTTTGCAGTTTTCATAAGCTAGAGTTTCCTACTGTGATAATACACAATAAGAAAAACATGGGTAATTCGCTTCTTGCTGTATTTATAAGCTGAAGCCATCCATACTGGATGTTACCCAGAAACTGGCAAAAACTTTGAGAGGTATTAGCGATCAAACGGTGTGTAGGTACTTTTAAGACATCCCGTATACGCTATGCATATCGAACTCTCGAAGATTCGGTGCTTATCGAATTTTCGAATAGTCAATTCTTATCGAATTTCCGAATATTCGGTGCTCGACGAATATTCGAATATTTGATGGACATCGAATGATCGAATGAATGACTCTCGAATATTCGACTATCGAATAATATTCGAAACTAGCTGACTTACCCGGCTCCGCCGTATGTTCCAAATAGAAAATTCCATTTCTTAACCGATCCGGACCAAACTTGACACACATACACTTCGGGCCCCGGCGGGTGTCACAGTCCACTTTTCGCTAACGATCGATGTCGATTTTATCGATTTTTTGCAAAATTTGAGCTACGGGGCTGGGAGTTGGCACAGGGGGGTAATCGAGCATGCTGATCACCCCCGTGGGGGTGATCAGTATGCTCGATTACACCCCCTGCCAAATTCCAGCCCTCTAGCTCAAATTTTGCGAAAAATCGATAAAATCGATATCGATCGATGACGAAAAGTAGCCTATGACACCCGCCGGGGCCCAAAGTGTATGTGTGCCAAGTTTGGTCCCAATCGGTTCAGAAATGGAATTTTCTATTCGGAACATACGTACAGACAGACAGACATACAGACAGACATACAAACAGACATTCAGCTTATATAAGATTTAAGATTTTCGAATATTCGACTTTCGAATAATATTCGAAAATGAAGATTTTCGAACATTCGACTATCGAATATATTCGAAAACTGAAAATTACGAATATTCGACTTTCGAATATTATTCGAAATCTCAAATTTTCGAATATTCGACTTTTCGAATCATTCGCATTCGAATGATTTATTCGAATGATCGAATAATTATTCGATTCGGTCCCAAGTATAGTAGAGGATCGGAGAGGAGATGCGTCATATCTAGCTACTCCACGTATCTTTCTTCTTCTTTCCCCATCTTGCTTATAAAGTTTTTCATACATTTATGCCTGCGCATAATAGATGCCAGGTTACTTCCATAGAAGATTGGTTTTTTGCCCCTGGGGTCACCTCTCATTTTTAGAGTGATTTATATTCCTGAGAAGTCAATGCAAAAGCTGTAAAATTGTACTGAAGGATATACTACGGCACTGCTAAGCATGTTTTCGATAGAAGAAATGGAATCTGAGGATTGTGAATTTTTCGATAATCCCTGGCTCGCGAGCTAGGGATTACCGAAGATTTCACTTATTTCTGCTAAAATCATCTTAAGCAGCGCCGTAGTATATCCACAGTACAATTTTGCTGCTTTTCATTGAGTTTTCAGGGAGATAAACGGCATTGAAATTAAGAGGTGATCCCCTGGGAATCCCCAGGGGATCCCCGGGGATCAGACAAAATAGTGAAAATCTAATCAGTCATGCCAGTAACCTGGCATCCACTATGCGCAGGTATAAGGGTATGAAAACCTTAAGCAAGATAGAAAAGGAAGAAGAAAGATCCGTAGAGTAGCGAGATATGACGCATCCCCTCTCAGATCCCCTCCCTTCCCCATCTGGATGTATTACGTGCATACGGGCCTAAATCAAAAACCACAACATTCGGTTCGACTACCGCTGCCTTCCTCAAATCTCTAGCAGTAGCCTCATATATCTGACTTCGGATTGAAGTTAATGAAAGGACGAGTGCTATTCACAAGCTTGAGTAGTTGCCGATATGATCAGCACACCAGCCAACGCAGTTGATGCGCAATCACAACCCAGTCAGCTTGCGTTATCGATTTAGGACAAGGTTTGCTTTGTACTTGGGAAATAACGATCCGTCATTCTTTCAACTTCACATCATAAAAATATCCCTCACGAACTTGCCCTCATTATAGAATTCAAACACCAATGCTCAAGTTTTGCGCCAACCTAGATCACTAGCGCATTCACAGTCATCTCTCGTGTCGATCGATATCTCACCTCAGCGAACCATCGATCACATGTTCTGCTGTTCTTCTTTCCGGATATCCAAATTAAACATGCCTAGGCTGTTTTATCAGTTCTCCAATCTGTGTCTTCCTTCTGCGGCCTTTTGACGTCAGGCTCCTCATCTGTAGTACAAAGTCGGAGTCTTCCATTCTTTTACCAGTAGCCACTGATTGCTTGTTGGATCATAGTTTTGCAAACAGAACGATTCTTAGTCATCTTATTGATTGCTGTGGTAAGTTTTATCGAGTGGTTGCGAAAGGTTGCCGGACGCCGATCTGTTTTAGTATTGTTATGCAGTGTTTAGGAAAATCAATGGCTTTCAGCGTTTCATACCACCCACCTCCCATAAGGCCGTACTTAATGCCTTACATGACATAGATTTCATCGTTTCCTTTATTGTGTTGCGAAGGGCTGTGTGCAACTGAGTATTAACATTTGTATATTTCTACTTTCGAGGTTGAATCAGCGTGAGTCAATCATGTTTGCATTTCAACTATGAATCCTGCCTTGTTTTGCCATTAAGTATGCAGATAATCTTTTTATTACTTCACTTTTGATATCATGTTACGATGAGCTAAATGCATTCAAGAATTTTCGAACTATGTTGCATTCTAAGATGGAACTCCTCGAACACAATATCGTTTGAATTACTCTTCTTCTATATTGGATTTTCACCATAGAGCGTAGTGCTGTGATGTGCTTTTTTTCTGGAATTGCTTGCTTTGAGCTCAATCCAGTCTTTGAGATGAAATCACTATCGTCATCTATAGACTGGTTCACTCCGGAACAAGTTGCATGTAAAAAATTTTTTTATGATTTCCACTCATTTTGATTTTAGGTATTAGTGGAGGATTGGAGAGCAGAATATAGGAAGATGTCGGGAGCTCCATACAATTACTCCTATATCTTCAAGTACATCATCATCGGTGATATGGGTGTTGGAAAATCGTGTTTGTTGCATCAGTTCACGGAGAAAAAATGTGAGGACTTTCTTCTGCTCAGTCATATTTTCTGATTTCTTTTTCGTCAAATCATCTATCACCCATTCCTTTGCAGCATCTTATTAGTAAAAAGTTTGAATCATCCTTTGTTAAGTTATGGCGGACTGTCCGCATACCATCGGTGTCGAGTTCGGTACGCGTATTATCGAGGTCAGTGGTCAGAAAATCAAACTGCAGATCTGGGACACCGCTGGACAAGAAAGGTGAAAGTAGCTTCTTGAACTTTTTTAATTGGAATTTTTACATTGCTGATTGCCTACAGAACTCTCTTATGTTAGTCATTGCTTTTGCATTACTTTCGGGAAATGTGATAATTATTTCTTGGAATGTCTGATCTGCTGAACGCTTTGTTTTGTTAGAAATAGTGGTTTTGAATATCTTCTTACAATTTTGCGATGCTATAAACGTAGAGCGTTCTTCTTTCTAAGAACTTTTACTTTGCTTTATGGATGTGTTTGCAGGAGAGTTTTTAATTGGAACTGTGTGGCTGAAATAGTAAAGCCAATATCATAATCAGTTGCTGCTTTTTGTTTCGCTTTGCACCTTTTGACTGTTATGAAGTTATATGTATCAGCTCCTTCTAGTTCTTTTTTCTTCTCATCGTCCGATTATCTTGCTGTGTTTTCCATATTGCGTTGTTGGGTGATGCACAAACATTTATTGGTATTATTATTGGTAACATATGGTTGGAGATGTTCAGATTCCGCGCTGTGACGCGTTCGTATTATCGTGGTGCCGCTGGGGCATTGATGGTTTACGATATCACAAGGCGTTCAACTTACAACCATCTGAGCAGCTGGCTGACAGATGCAAGAAATCTTACCAATCCTAACACGGTTTGTGATTTTTCCTTACTACAGCAAATCAAAGACAGCTCGTCATTTGCAGGCTATCTTCCTGATTGGCAATAAGTCTGATCTTGATGGACAGCGGGATGTACCTTATGAAGAAGCCAAGGCATTTGCGGAAGAAAACGGCCTCACATTCCTGGAGTGTTCTGCAAAAACGTATGTACTGACATCTTTTCATTCTGTTTTTTTTTTGTTTTTTTATCTACAACACGATCAGTCTGTTTGATGCTTGTAAAAAATCTTTTCTAGTGGTGACAATGTTGAAGATGCATTCCTGGAAACAGCAAGGAAGATTTATCAAAATGTGAAGGACGGCAGGTACAGTAGTGAAGTTTTATGCTTTTCGCCCATGATCGATTCAAGATTTGATAGTTCACGAGGATAAATTTGTTAGATTTTTCACTGTACAGCACAGTACTTGTTTTCACACCGTGTAACTCAGAATTCGTCTTTGTTTCTGTCATCCGAAAAGCTTGAAATGCTTGGCTACTATGCACGCTAATTTGGACTGCGTGCAAACAACAAAACAGATGCCAGCTCGTGGATGCTAAAAGTGCTTGAATTTAGTCTTACGTGATAGCCACGTGCAAACAGTTTTCGCTTATCTACAAGTTACTAACATTCGGTTGCTGAGATTATCGTGCTTTTCAGTATCGACCTCAATGCAGCGGACACGGGGGTCCAACCGAAGCAGAATCTTCCACGTGCGGCTGCTACAGCTGGGCAAGAGAAGAAGGATTGCAATTGTTGAGATATGGTCGGTATAAGCATACGGTGAGGTGACTTATCTGTTCGTTTGTTTATGGTCCTGATTTTTCTTCGCACAAAGAAGTGTATGTAGTGTGTATGAACACTTATATATCTGATATATATATAGCATATATGATTCTAAGCTCTCTATCTTCTCTTGTTTCACTCTGTCAGCCTAGCATTACCATCGGCACTTTACGAATGAATATCTGTAGATAGTGCGCTTTTTTGACCCATAGGCCGTCACTGATTGATGAGGCTACGAGTTCGTGTTTCAGATGCTAATGTTTGTGCATATGTTCTCGACTTCGCATAATGGTTGTGAGCATGTGAATTTGTCTCCATCAAACCTTCGATGTAGAATCCTATCCATGCTTTCAGTTTCTATGATGGGAGAACTATATATATTTTTCTTTATTTGGTCATTTCCTTTAAAACCAGTGATGCTAAAATTATTCAAAATCTCATCTCTTTAATAACTGTTAGATCTTTACGATGTGATATGCTTCTGTTTTTATAAGTTATTGAAGGTTTCGTCTTTGTACACATGTATGAAGAGTGTTTCTATCTTTTTGGAGAACCGTTTCCGTTATTTGATCAGCTTTATCGCTGAGAACAAGTACAGTATCTTCTGTTGTGAGCGCATTCAACAAATTACATCCTGGTGCCGTTTCCGTCATCTCTGTCTGACGCTAACTACGGTTTTCTATCTGAAGGCATTGAATTTCACTTCGGTGGTGCTGCAGTAATAGTATTCACATGGTATGTGTTCAAGTCAGGGCAGGGCATGGGTCGTTCGTGTAGGTAAAAGCATTTTATGTGGGGTAAAGATTCGCTTTAGGAACTTTACGTGCATAGCGCCGAGATTTTGGCATGCAGAGATTAAACGGAGTGATTCGGAGGACAAGTGAAACTTGATCACAGTTGATGATAGAAATTGGTGGTGAAGGTTCATACTAGCGTTCCGTTAATGCAGTGTAGGATTTGTATTGCTTTTCGAAGTTTCTAAATAAAATCATAAAATAAAATGGTTTTAGCTGTTTTATAAAACGGATTTGTCAGCTGCACTACAGTGGCGTCATGCTTGTAATTCATGTCCACCGCATCGAATCCGGACGATCGAGGTAATAAATGCGGTCGGTCTCATATCGCTTGGGTAGGTGCCAGACTAAGCGAATATTTCAGTTGCAAAGGCGCACAGAATTAACGTTAATTCTGCGCGGGACCTGCAGCTGAAGCAGGCCTTAGCAGCAGCAGATATTATGCAGCAGACATTAGTTGTGCGCGCCTTTTGCAGCTGAACAAAATAGTCGCTTAGTCTGGCACCGGCCTTAGGAGAGTGAAGTAAAAATTGCTTGTTGATTATCGCGCAGAAGTCATTTTATATAAAGATACATAGTGGACCCAAATTACAATGTGGTCTGCTGACATAGTGAAAGGGAGCTGGAATTGTTAAGTATATAGCGAAATGTGTTTTTGGAGTAATCGAGAGGAGAATCGTGGAACCATACAAGCGTAATGAACGTTGGTTTTCGTTTTTTTTTCTCAGTTCATAGGCCTTCGGGAAAAGCTTTTCCGTTACCAAACCACAACATTGTGGTTGGACGTGCAAGCAACTGTAGCCTGTTAACAATGTACCGTGGAATTTCCTAGTGGAATTTTATATAGTCTGCATACAAATGTCTCTGCGAAATTGAGTGTCTGGGTTAGGTTACTAAAACATACCATCGAGGCGTCGACTGCACTGACTGCCATAGATTGCGGAGCACGCGCGGTGTGGTAAAATTTCACGAGAGCAGGACTTGTGTCAAAAGCATTTATACTGGTACAGGCATTTGGCGGCGCGGTGCGTGCTCCGCAATTTAACAATAAGGCCATTCCGTGCCATCAACGACTCGACTTTATATTCTGTGTCTTGAGATTCTTCACCTAAGTACCATCTCAACGCACTCCATTTACCGCTTGACCAAGGGCGATGCAGCGAAGCGCTGTTGCTACGAGTACTACCGAGCTACGAGTAAACGCTAACAAAAAATGAGATATTGTGCTTACGCCTATCATCAAATCTTACCAAACATATACTTGTTTGGACACTTGTTTATGATCCCAAATCTGCAATAATAAGATCGCTTTACGTCATCAGTTTTCAGAGGTAAAACATTCTACTTTGGTGTCCTGTTGAGGTGCCAACACTTCCTCACCAAAACAATGCGTGAGGACACTAACAGACGGCACCCGAGCGCATCCACGTTGTCGACCACCCACTGCGTGCTTGCCAACCCCTGCATGAGGGTAGAGGACTATATGTCGCCGAAAAGGGCGGTCCCCGCGGTCATATGCGACAAATACGCACCCTTGTACATGCGAGGACATGCGTTCTTTCAGGAAATCCGCGCGGGCTCTTCCACATTCGGCGACATATAGTCCTCCACCCCCTGCATGACTTTTGCAGGTCGCCGATGAGAAATTGGTTTTCGGTCTAAATCATTCAAAGGCTGTCTGACTATGAGAAAAAATCCGCTCGGCTTTCAAAATTTAATCTGGTCAGGTCTCTTGGTTCCGACTGACCGTTCCAGAATGGTAGACGGCTTGCTTAGGGAAAGGGGAACGAGCGTTGCACCGGTTATAGCAGCGCCAACTTATAACAACACCAACCACAAGATACCCAAATTCAAATTCACAAATACCCCATAATTTATTTCAAACGCAACTAGCAACAAGTGGTCGCACAAATTTATGCGAATCCACATCAGGTGGAAACTGACGAAACTCAATTTCCCTTCCTGCCGCGATATTCCAGCGAACAGTCCAAGACTTATACGAGCCAGAACATGGCAGGAAACACATGAGGTACGAAGGATTATAGAAACAATAACTGTCAAGATACAACAAATATAGAACAGGCATTGAACATGGGATCAGTTAGAAAGGCGGATTTAGGGTCGTAAAAGTATGGATATGACTACGACTGGACCGGGCTGCGTAAGGCCCTACTTAACACGGTCATGTATCTATATTTCGAAAATATTCAAGCACAAACAATAAGTTAAGACATCTCAACGCTGCAGTTAGTTCAAAGTGAACTTTGATCTAGAAAGCATTGGATTAGGATTTCAAATGCAAGATCGATTTCAGGTCAATTTACAGACAGATCAAAAATAACAATAACAGGCACGACATAACAACTTTTACAAGAGATAATCAACATGGAAAGATACTTAATGATACTCAATGAATGCCGAGACGACGATCGTAAACGCCAAGCCGCTCACAATACCTACAATAACATAAATCTTTGTCGATAACAAGATGTTCGTTGAACTAACCGAAGATTAGGAAAAATCCGGCCATCATACTTGCAATGCGGCTTTTTGAGGTCTCCACAACTCTGAATAATGATTTCAGACAACGTTTGATGATTACGCTGCAATCCTACAGTCTGTCCCATTCGAAATCAGGCCGTGAATTTGCGCGCTCCAAGCGCATTTACGCTGCATATATGCGCACCGTCGGAGAGAGTGAAGAGAATGAAGAAAAAGCAGACATGCACGCCGCAGAGTGACGCAAAACCCTAGCGACGCGGACGCCATGTCAAATTTGGCGTGGTTGGGATTGGGACAGACTGTACTTGGCCCTGAATATGTTTTTTTTTATTACCTTGGAGTGTACATCATAGCGAGACCACTGAGATAGCCGCTTGAGATACTCATGATCATTCCCATGACGATGTACAGCCATGTGTTCGGAAAGAGGACAGGCCATGTTCTCAAAATCACGCATTTTAAAATTGTCTATATGGAAATGAAACACTCAGTTATACCTGGTGAGCGGTCTGTAATTGCAAAAAGCAAAGAATGGTATGAACAGCAAACGCGGATACACTGCCATCCACAGTCTCTCGGGTCCCGGCTTAAAACAGATGTCTGAGTTGACTTGTAGACATACAAAACATAGTCTGCATGTTTATATTTGCGCCGCAAATGTGCTATCATGCTACTGTATTAAGCTGAAATAGTGAGCTGAAATAGCCCTTTACAACTTCCTCCAAGGAGTACATGTCTCTGCTCCCAACTGCGTCCGGGGATGTGCCAACTTCTTCGATTTCTGGCTTTTTTTTTCTACAGAAGTCGATCCGTTCAACGTTAGCGAAAAAAATTTTTTTCTCAGATTGATCGCAAACCTCTGTTGAATGAAAGATGTAAGTTGGAAAGCCCTTGTTAAAGAATCATACAATTATTTCTCAAAACTTTTATAACAGCTAATGTGACTATGCGCTTCACTAGAAGCGTTGCTCGCGCTAACAGTCTATAGCCTGTTCTGATTGGCATCAGGTCGAAACGTTGGTGTAAATCTAGTACTCGCAGCGCTATTATTTCACGCCCGCATTTGAAGAGCGAGTAGTTGTGAAAGAAGGAAGCGCGAAAAGAGAGGGAGTGGGATTATACATACAGTACTGAAAATCGAGAACTTCAGTTGTTGCTCGCAAAAAACAGCTAATCACGACCACACCACAACGCTGGGACGGACTAGCTTGTCAAATCAAAATTTGATTGCAAGCTAGTCCTGCAGTGCACTGAAGAACCCACAGTGTAGAAGAAAAGACCCCACATAAACAACTAAATTGAAACTTACGTATTGATAACGACCTGCCAGCATGGAGCCAATGAAAGCGAATACATTGAAAAGCAGAAAACATGAGATGGGTACGAAAAGTTTTTCTGAAATTTTAACTTCACAATTTAAGTAACGGCGGCTACGATCTGTAAAGAATCAAATTGGACAGTTTCTCTTACCGGGTAGTATGAAAGAGTATTTTTGTCCGATCAATTCATCACGGACATCCACCATAATTCCTGGGAATATAGTAAGACTCACGAAAAACACCAAATAAACATTAAGCATTTGCGGCCATCCCTAAAAAGTGACTAAGGGTATCCTACGCCATTCGATATTAGCATTTACCTGCTTGAAAGCCTCTAGATAGTCTTGAGGATTTAATCCACCACTCTTTTCAGCATCCTCGGCCGCTCTAGCTTGCAACGCTCGTTTCGAGTAATACTGATAGAATCTCTAGAAAAAGAAAGGACACCTCAGAAACTGCTGACAACAAATCGAAAACGATACCTGTCGCTTAAGAACGAAGAACGAGGCGAAACAGATGGCAAGGGTAAATAATGAGATCCCAAAGTAAGCGAAAGCTGCATTTGCAGTATTCTTCGACACTGAAACGGAATTACCTAGGGAATGACTGAAATGCAGCAAAAACGAAGTATACCTAAGGCAGTGATGATGCTGACTACAGTAACGAAAGTTCCACAAAGATTGTTGCCGATAATCACAGCGTTAGTAAATTTGAAGGGGAAATCTGATGCGAGACCAAATATGCTGAAGAAAATAACAATGAGGTCTATGCCGGAAAGATAGACGAGTCAGATATAATGATGAGGTGAATAGGATTTCCCCACAACACAAAATTTTTATCTTCGTATATGATGTCATGCCCCTTAGGTAGACGCTACACTTGATCCAGTCCATCCCATCATATAATTGGTCAAAACAGTAACAGACCAATAACGAAAAGGATGTCCGCTTGGTCCACTTCGCTACTGGTCAGTCCACTTATTTGACCAATAGCGAAGCGGATGCAGAGGATCGAGCGGATCAAATGGATCGAGTATGGCGTAAGCTTTACTACGTGTTGTAAGCTTCATGACATTATACACCTACACCTTATTTGAAAACATATTGGTTGTGGAATTTTTCTAGCAACAAACCTGTTCTGGTAAATTCCATTTGCTCCATTCAGAAGAACTATAGAAAGAAGAGTGATAACAAAAAAACCGCCCATCCCTAAAAAAAATCGTAGTAGAGCAAAATCATCCATTTTCCAAGGCTAGGCAAAGTATGATAGCTTTGCACACTCACATGACCATGTGTCAACGTAGACGAAACTCATTGTGAAGATGATCATGGCACCAACAATTAACAGAGAAAGCGAAATCCGTTTTGTTAAGTCGCCCCTCAAAAAGTTCATGTCGGATAAAAGGACAAGAACCATAGATCGACTTACTTCACAGTCACAAAGATATTAATAAAATTAAGGAGAAGGTTAGGAATTTGAGAGGCGATGGCGAGATAGTTGAGGAAGTTCGCCGAGTACTCGGTAGCGTGAGCAGTACCGTTTTCGTCGAAAGTCTTCATTTTGTAGTTAGTGTAATACTAAAACAATGGTATAAGGGAGCACAGCATTGGATTACCTGAACACGAAAAGGCAACAAAATAGGATGAGTTGCTGGGAACGAGCTCATTCAATCGAGCCCTAGAGGTTTGTTGGGGTAAGTTCGTTCTCCCCTTGGATAGGGATTGTATGGAAAAAGAATAGAATCTTTCACTATGCTTTCATGATTCAACCACTCCAACAAGACTCCGTTCAAAAAGTAATCTGTAACTTCCAAAAGAAGATAACGAGCTGAGCTTTCGCGAATCACCATCGTACATCAAGCTCTTCTTCCCAAAGCAAAAAATTTCAAGAAAAAACAAGTGGAAGATGAAACGTCGGGTACATTCAAAGTAGAATGTAACTCACATCAGGAGCTATTGTAATGAACATATTCCATGGCATTAGCGTACCGACTCCATGCAGTAAAATTATGAGGTAGACCAAATTTCCGGAGTCCTGAAAATCTGGTTTCTTGACAGGAGGCGACATCCGAGCTAAGATGAATCCGGATAAAGGCGTGACTCTCGCTTCACCCAAAGCCGATCATGCCCCATTAGTATTTATTGAAGTCTGGTACTAGCTAGCATCAAAAACAGCTAGATACCTTCGGTGCTTCCTCAGAGCCCACCGCAGTGATGAACGGCGCCCCCTCGTCAGATATATTCCGTTCTAAAAGTAAAAAGAATTTACTTAACTACTGAGTAGAAATTCTTAACTTACCAGTGGAATTTTGATCGGAGGCGGTATCGGAGGGCATTGCTACAGGCCTCGCAAACACCTGCAAAATGCTGGATAGGCTACGAGACTCGGAGGTATCGATTACTCCATGGACAATGGCAAATGCCTAACAGTGAACCGACGAAATAAGAGCACACAAATAATTTCATTGTTGAAGAACCCCCATATACGAGTGAAATGCTTATTCGGAAGGTTACATCAATTTTACTTGGCAATTGGCGAGTGCAGTGGTATGAAAAGTCTATTATTTACAAGCTCAACGCACTAGTTTCCAAACATAGAACATCAACTTGGCACACGGGTACAGGTAGCCTAAGACGTAGATCTGCTGAAGACATGTGCTATGGCGTATAAAGGACTTTTTTCATGCATTAGCTAAGAACGTGCGTCTCGAGCAATGCAGACCTGCTGGGCTGTTGCTATGGATAGATATAAAAATAGCTATGCGAATAGTAAACAACTCAGACTTCCTTAAGCTTTGATGCAAGAAACCGAATATAGCAAACTTGCATAAATGAGAAAAGGAGTCTAAACTTAGAAAAGAGGGTGTGTGAAAGTACGGAGGATCACCAAAAGCACTTTTGTTTTGCAAGGTGGAAGCAAATATCCATCATTTGCACTTTGTTGTAGACATTGAAGTGCAATATCGATTTTGAGCAGCTGTTGGGAACTTCATGTGGATGCAGTTCCCTACGATATGTGCCCAGGTTCAGAGGGTTCTATGCATTTCGAACAATTCCCAAACCATATAATTGTATGTGCGCAACTTCCTCAGAATATCTTTACATCAAGCAACAACACTGTAGAAAATATCCGTTTTGCACAAATCTCATATAGAATGAAACGAAGAGATCTCAACCAATATGTACGAGTAATCTTGCTAAGAATGAGACTCTAAATGATCTTATCAAGGATAAAATCAGTCGATCAGTAGGCAAGTAAGAGACAGCACCAAGGTCACGGCTGGCGATGCAAACGGAGGAGCTGGGAGGTGGGACCACCATATGAGCGGCTTGAAAACAGGCGGGAATGGTCCGTGGGTGTTTTCAAACTTGTGGCGACAGAGCATCGGCAAACTTCCCAGAGGGTTCGCTAGTGTTTTAAGAGAGTGTACAAGTCGCTGAAGGCGCTTTGTTTTACAAGCTGGACGTGTCAAAAGTTAAAACAACTAGCTGCATTGTATTCTCCCCACAACTTAGCGGGGAGTCGCGAAATTTGTGCTTGAGGCAGTAGACCACATTTGATGCCACAGAGTATTTCTATTTGCAGCTTATGTGATCTCGCGCATATCAATTTTGTAAGCCTTTTGCTATCATACTATGACATTTCAAGTACTTTTTTTTTGTATACGAACGTTCCCGCCGAATGGTATAAGGCGTGAATCACGTTCTGTAGCGCCCTTTTCAACAGTACGTCGCTGAAGAATCTTGGTTTTACATAGACACGTTGGCTCTCAGAAAGTGGATGAGTCACCCTGCTAGTGAAAATCGGCGGGGAATAGTAGCTTGCATCGGAACGTTTGAAAGAGTGTTCGGCGAAATGCCGATCCATTTTCGTGGGAGGGGGTGGGGGAGGGGTAGGGGGTTTGGATACACATCCTTCCAATGATGGAAGATGGGGAAAACTTCCTCAAGTAGAGTTCTTTAAAACACCTAGACCTTTTGGACACTTAACTTTGATGCATTTTAGGGATTTCTATCATCCAAATACACAGGATGTCCCCAAAAGTGTGCACACTGCTTGATCGTCGGTATCTCTCTTTCCTCGAGTTTTTCGCCGCTTCTGACCTTTATACCATACTGTAAAGCTGGTTTCAACTTAAACCCACACTATAGGGCGAATCACCGATTTTCTTATATTATCGTAGGATTACGGAAAGTTCTATACAGTGTCCCTGGTAAATAGACCGTTTGAAAAATTCTCAAGAAATCTTGTAATTTGTGTAGCGGAGTTTTTACAGAACCTGATTTCACTACAAAACTTTTCAGGTCGTTTTGGCTTTTTGAATGGTGTGATTGCATTTCTGAGAAACATCGAAAAAACAGCTGCGGAAAAATAACGGCGATAATTCAAGAAAAAGAATTACGGTGACGTGCGAATCTCATGTCTGTGCCACTTTCACTGACCTAGCATAAAAATTTCCAGGTTGTTTTGCTTCCTTTCTGAAGTAATAAATGACCCTTGAAGGCTCAAAACCTTCTTTGAATTCCTACTTCAGTCTCTCAAGAACGAAGAGAAAACGGTGATTTGCTTCATATTGTAAGTCTAAGCTGAAGCCAGCGCTGAAGGAGGGCACCTCAAGAATAATAGACACTTTCCCGAGGAAGTTACTAACGATGAAACAGCGTGCACAATATTTGGGGACACCCCTATATTCTGATAACTACGTTTACTGTTCGATATAATGACTCGGTTCAATAAAACATTTGAAAATTTTTTTGAAGTTTTTCATAAACTCAGATTAGCTTTGCGAACAAGCGACACTGCATCTACTGGATACTTTGCCCTCCAAAGAAAGTTGTGCAGTTGAGCCATCTTCAGTTATAAGCAAAAGGAAATCTCATTTTTTGCATGTTACCAGTTTTTTGTTTTAGCTACTTTTTTGGGAGATCTGAATCGGGACATCCGAAGCGTGAGAAATAGGTATTATTACATTTTTCTGGTTATTCGAATGAATCATTCGAATGCGAAGAGTCGAAAATTCGAATTTTCCAAAATCTGAGATTTCGTATGATATTTGATCGTCGAATATTCGAAAATTTTCAATTTTGAATATTATTCGAAAGTCGATTATTTGAAAATCCAATTTTCAAAAACTATTCGATATTCGAATAATCAAAAAAATTTGAATTTACCATAATATATTGTACAGACCCTCCAATACTAGACTTCTTCGGAACGTGAGTGAAGCAAGCAGTAGTATTTATTTCACCCATTCTTGTGGAGCGACAGTTTTTCTTGGAGCAGTTCACATCCACAAAGAAATTTCTATTTATAAATCCTGCCTATTGGGGGATACTGCCACATTGCCGCTGTCATTTTGTTAGATATCAATATTATTCTTGCTTAACAATCATATGGGAGCATACGAGGCCTACAAGTATCTCGCACATGGCTTCAGCTTAGTCACCATTTTGCTTCTTTGATTTAGCATAACATGCATTTCTGTATACAGATGTGTGCAAGAATAGCTGTGATTTATTGGATCGGCGTATGAATGGGAGAACGAAGAAAAAAAACCTAAAAAAATTATGTAGAGATGGAAGATAAAAAACTCTGATGTTTGAAATCCAAGTTTTCAAAGAGGAAATATCCTTTCTTACGGAAAAATACCCATATCCGAAAGGGGCATTGACTCACCACCATCTTTTCGCTTCTGCTAACTCAAGATGGGCATACATTATATGCACCGATTCGACAAATATGTGCTAGAGTACAGTGCCTTGCTAATTCTGCTATCTCACGCTGTAGATTTACTTAAGAATTCAATGTGAATAGTAGCTTATTGGATGAATAGTCTAACAAGTGCTTCAAATTTGAGATGCATCCTCTTTCTAACGGTTATATTTTGTTCAGATTTCCTTGATGTCCGTTCAATAATCGATGGGGATCTCCAATTACATTTTCAACTTTTAAGGCTTTGATAATGATTGAATAAAATAAAAAAACTGCAATACGATACTATATACTAGTTTTCTGCCATCGCTTGGCTTTTCAAAAGTTTTGAATATTCTGTTCCTATCAAATCCCATATTTGGGCATACCAATCCTTACAAAACAAAAAATGACGAGCAACCATGGTGTCGTTCGATGCAATTTTTCTTCTCTTTCTGGACTTCTTTTCCCGCTGATTTGTATAATATCTGAAGATATCATTGTAATTTGTTTCCAGACTCGTTCCAGGCTGTAGCCAGAAAAGTTTGGAATTCAAAATTTCGAACATCTAAGCTGAGTTGACATCTAAGCTGAGTTGCTTGCTAAAATCAGGAGATGATAAACTATTTTTGGAAGCTTCAAGTTTTGTAGATTTGTTAGTGTTTATAGCGACTGTGTTTTCACAACTTTGCAAGTGTAAGGACTTTTGGAAAAATTCTTTAAAAAAATACTGAAAAGTTAGTTGATGAAGCCAAGGTTCATTATGTTGCATTTTGTTTATTCTATCCAAATGTTGTCAAGGCTTGTCCAATAGTTGAAAATTGACACTATGAAAAATAGCCAAACTCAAGATGGGTGGAAATCATGGGTTGGAGATCCCTGCCGATTATTAAGCGGACATCAAGGGAATCTGAAGAAAAACATAACCATTAGAAAGAGGAGGATTCTGCATCGAATGCTGTTTACGGGGTTTGTGTATCATTGCTAAGAGGTTCGAGCATGAGTCTGAAGACGCGCACGAACTTTCAGTCCGACCTAATGTAGTAAATTACACGTTTTGTTCCCAGTGCTTGCGCTGCATGAAGCTAGTAGCCATATTCCAACAACTAGCCACAAATCGTAATTTTTGACTTCAAGTAGTGATCGACAAAAGATTATTCGAGATTTTTCCTAGCTAAATGCCATTTTTGTAGAAGCGATTCCGATGAATGGGGCGAGCATAGAGAGGTGGGAACATACATTTGAGTAGATTTTCCGCTTAATATAGTGTGGTTGCACCGTAGGTGAGATGCGGTAAATTTTGCGCGTGAACAAATAACCACGCCAGTAATGCCTGCATTTTGCGCGCGCAATTGGCCGGCGTTACATGCGTAGCTATTTGTTCACGCGCAAATGTTACCTTTTACCTGCAATGCAAACGCTATAGTACAAACGCTATAGTAAGCGGAAAACCTAGTTGTCTGTATCTTTTGAAGCAATTCAGCGCTGTGCAAGATATTGGTCTGATATGGAAAACGGGAGGATTTGGCTGATTATGAGAGGCGCAATACGCTACTGCTTATTCTATAATATCCCGATGGAAGTCCATAGTTCGAGTAATTTTGAAGCAACAAGTCGATGATTAATAGAAACCGCATAGGATGTCTGGAAGAAAAGTAACAGATGCAGCTGCTTCTTCGCTTTGACAAGTGAATGTGTTGAGAGAATATGGCATTTCACATTAAATGACGCTGCATCGTGTTCTTCGCACGGCACGTGCGCATCCGTGACGTAAGTATCTGCACTGATCTTTTTCCGAATGCGGAGGGATAGAATTACTCGCACAATGATGTTCTAAAAATCCTTACTTGAAGGTGTCTGCGAAGTGGCTGCCCGTTACAATTTTAAGGTTTTTTAACTCCTATATTCATGTTCCACTTACTTCAGAGTATTACTTTTGAAGGATCTACTACATTTCTTGTAAGTGGTTGGTGCAAAAATAATCAAAAAACGAAGGTTTTTCTTTTGAGAACCTCTTATTTGGAAGATTAAAACTTCCTTCAAGTTTTGTTCCTATGGCTGGTAATCAGCTTATTTTTTAGCCGCAAGCCAGTAGCTCGCATGTATAGAAAAGACTGTGACGAGAAAGCTCTAAAAAAAAGATGAAAAAGCAAAAGTTACTCGTGGTAGGCCTGAGTGTCTCAAACCACGAAACTTTAGAATCCTTCAAGCTCTGAATAGCTGAATTTTTCAGCGAAAATTGTAGGCAAGATTTCTGGCCTCAAGCATACAGAAATGAGCGAAGGTTCGGCAATTGCCTTAATATGAGAAATTTGACCTATAGAATGCCACCGGCGAGAATCCATTTTGAGGTGTCGATTTCTCAGTCCACATATTTGCGAAAAATCCTTATGCATGCAATAGGTAAACAATAGCCATACTAAACAGTAGCTTAGAAAAGAATTCGTTCATCTGCACCTGAATTGTGGCCAAGAATAGAAGCAATGACATTTCGATCCCGAGCATTTCGTTTGCTATGCAAAATGCTGGTGAATTTCTCATAAATGAGGATAGAAGCCTCTTCCAATAATGTGCAAAACTCATTTAGAAGAAGGAAGATTGATGAGAAAAAAAGTTCCTCGAAAAATAGGTTTAGAAGAAATTTAATAATCCCTGTGAATTTAAAACAATTGTTATCAAAACAGTGTAAGCAATCTTCGTTGATATGGTAGAAGCTACAAAAGTAATTAGTAGTCAGATTCTTTGCAGCTCACATGCCAAAAAAGAGTGATGCTCCTATTTTTCTGTCGGTGCTAACAATTCCTAAAGTTTGCTTATTCGCTGCCGGGGCCAAAACATGGAACGAGCTGCGTCGTTTCGATACTGAGGTTATCGTGAATCCTCGTAGACACCGCGCCGAAGGCTTGACATTTTTGCAATATTTGCAAGTATGAAAACTATGCATATGAAATCACGAGCTGGTTCAAAAAATCTGTCGATTCATGGAAGGCGAATATCTCCAAGAAAAATAGCATAGCTCATACCCAAAAATAGTGTATACAGAGTAGTAGATCACCTTAAGGTAGACGGCAATCAAAGCAGCACCTAGGCAAAATAGTTCGAGCCGCACCCAATATAGAATGGAATTGGCGATATCGAGTTCGTTTTGGCCCTTACCCAAACTTGGAACAGATCTGATTTTGAGAAAGTTATGGATATTTCGATGAGGAATTTCGACACGTGTTACAGTTTCTTTTACAAAATTTACACAAAATTTTGTCGTTCACAAATTTCGATTCCAATCGAAAATACCAAATCTTACAAAACTTCAACTCAAAGGCCTCCTTATCTGACAAGGAAAGCAAGTTTAGTCGAAATGGCCTTTTCAGATGGGATGTTACTGAAGAGCATAAAAGCTTATTCTAAATGTACGTTCATTAACTACGGAACGTTTGTGGACGAGAAGTTATGAGTGTTTATTAGAGCAAAAAATTTGGAGTGCATTCAGAATGAGCTGCTGTCTTACTAGCCCTCAAATAAAGCATCTTCATATATATTTTCTTGGAGTATTTAGTAAATAAAGTCTCTGGTAATTATTATCGTTCCATCAAAGCACTAGTTTTTTGTTCTTCGTGCACATTCAACTTTTTGCTAAAGTAAACGCTCATAACTCCTCGTCCATAAACTTTCCGCAGATTAGGAAGGCAGATTTGGAGTATTAGATTGGCTAATAAATAAATTCGCTGCTTTTGCGGCTCTTACAAATGCTGCAGATTTGTCCAGTGTTGGTATCTTTGAAAAAGCACTTGAATGGGAATTGGAGTATGATTTCTCTTGGAGTAGAGCTTATATTCCAAGGCAAAGAATCTGCAAAGAAGTGAGAAACCCCGATTTTTTTCATAGCCCGCAAATATGAGGAAATTTGGTTTTTTTTATGAAATATTTTCAGAGTGGTAAATCACAGTTTCCATTTTTATCCACTTAAAAAGAAAAACTCTTCTGTATCCAAATACCAAACTGCTGTTCTCTACATCCATTGCAGTTTGAAAACAAAGATACAAAGGAAGTTAAACAAAGTCAGAGAATTGTTCTTTGGAAATTTAGGGCATAACTGTCGTTACTGGTAATAGAAAATCCTGAATATTCGATATGTGATGAAGAAAGCCTCAAACTGTTTTCCTACAAATGGATAGAAAACAAGAAAATTTTTTATGAAGATTTGAATACCAGAACGAACTTATTTTTTTTAGCCAACCTAATATTTTATACTCCAGTATGGTATACATTTGACTGAACTTGCTTCCCCTGAGCAATCAAAGTGAGTGAGTAAGGAATAGAAGATTTGAGCACTTGATGCACCATGAGATAATTAAGACGTGTGGACTGACGCTACTGGTTTCAGATAACTTGGTGAAGACCGAACTGCAAAAAAGAGAACCAATAGCAGGAGAGTATTCCAATAGGTCATACAATCTCATCAACACGAAGTTCCAAAGAACGCCCACGGGAGAGCAATGGGCGGCCTTCCAGAAATGAGTCACCACTCCAGGAACGTAGTTATGTTTCGAAAATTGGCTTCTGGCTGAACCTGAGAACAAAAACTGAGAGGGGTGCCGTGTGATCGGTGAAGAGATTTTAGTTCAATTAGTTTTGGACTTCGCCACTTCTTGAGGACAAGTAAAACTTTAGTTTTTCCATACGACAGACTTTGAAGCGAATCATATGTAAGCCCTGCTGTTAGTCTCATCTGCATGGCACATATCCGTATTGCAATGTTTTGATATGGATTCTCATTTGAACTCTGCAAAAGTTAGCAATCAAGAACCATTTTAGGCACCGTTTGCATCGAACGGCTAATAAACTCGTTTAAGTAAGCCAAGCTAATGCGTAATCTTAGCATTCGGATCTAACGACCTACTTTTTACGTAATTTTGTATCGTGGTGACCTTTTATGGTATGGTGTTCTAACATTGAGTCTTCTTCTAGTTCTTCATTATTCGAATAACACAGAATAAGCTCGGATGAGGATTCGTAGTGCTGCACGGCCATGTATGGCTGTTATCTTGATCTTGCTGCTTGTACTAGTCATCGTTCAACATCGCAGACCATCTAGAACTAGAGCTTTTAGCGGAAGTAACGCAGGTCTTTCAGAAGTAAGTTTCAATCGTTGCTAAAAACATAGTAGACTGCCGTAAAAAAATTTCTTTTTAGGAAGAAATGGACCTTCTCGATTCAATCAAATTCGAGGATTTAGAAAACATTCTACCTAGCTCTGTGAGTGCCGCTTATAATTTTGTCTATTTTACTGATGTACCTTTTAGTGCTATTCTTGACAGCAACACCTGCATCATTTTTCGTAGTGATGTACTCTAAAACGTTCTGAACAAAACATTCAAACCAACTTTTTTTTATTCCAATTATCATTCTGATTATCATCTTTATTAACTTATCCATTTATTTGTTTGGGTGTTCCATGATCTTTTTTTCATTTTAATGGGAATATTTATTAGGGCTGTAACTACTAATCGATAAAACAAAACAAGCTTACAAGATGGCCTCAATGTCAAAAACTTATGATTTTTAACTAACATAATTGTATATACGAATGTCGCAAGGTATGAGTGTGAGTAGGATACAAGAGTTTTTTATATCAAGATTTTCTAGATTTTTTTGCTTTGCAGTTGAAGGAAAAACTGGGAGCGCATTAGGCCACTTTGTAAAGTTTACTTTGCACCATTGGTGATTTTCTTCAACTTTCTTACTGGAACTGAATGCTCCCTAAACTTATTTGCTAATTTTCTGAATTTTCTCAAGTTGATTTTTAGGTGAAACACAAAACTGCGATATTGGTCGTAATCGAAGTGGAAACTCGACCTGCTTTTTACGGTCACGCTTTGAGTAAGCTTCTTGACTTTTTTTTCGTGAAGGCACTTTTATTCTAACTATTCTTGCCCTAACAAGTGTTTGCCAATCTGTTCATTCAGCATCCGTTGCATGCTATGCTCGCGCACAAAACTATGAATTCCGTATACTTTTTCCCACGAATTTTTCCAAGGAATGCCGTCATAAAGATGTGAGCGTTAAGCTTATTTGCGTTTGTTAAGATCTGTATCATATTACAATATTACCATACGATAAATTTCTAGGTCTACCTTCGACGTCATTGCGTAGTGGCACACATTCTTCCTCAGTACCATACAATTCTCTACATCGACGCTGATATGGGCGTGGTGAATCCAAAGAAGTTCGTTCAGCTAATTTTCAAAATTCTTTCATACATTTCCAGCTTCATCCTTACCTTTAGTAAAGAAGAGTAGTTATTTTTTTAGTGACGAGTCAAAGTAGGTCTCGGAAGCAATTTTGCACTAAGAAATACTGGGGTGTCCCATAATTTTTTACCGTTTTCACCCTGAACATCAGTATTTCTCTTGAATTACAGCACCTGCAAAGGGCACAAATACACGATCGTACTTGTGCATGTATGAGCTTTATGAACACGTGCGTGGGAGGAACTCAGGATGTATAGGGGCGAAGTTTGCCATTTTACTCCATTCAGTTTTTTCTTTATTTCAAGCCATGAAAAAAACACGGAAAGTGTATAGCTTGTACGTTCGATGTGTCAAGCATATGCTAGGGTAAATGGGGAAATTTTGAGTCTTTTAGGGCGGAAATACGAATTTTTTCCCGCGAAATTTATTTGACTGCTAACAAATTTCAGCTCAGAACTTCGCCGGATACGATTTGGGCAGACATGGTAGCCTTCTTAACGAGCTTTCTTTGCCCTGTCGAATGATTACTCAAGTCACACCAATGAAAGAACGATACAAATACGCGATGGTTTTAGTAAAAAAGAAAAAAAATCATGGGACACCCTAATACGACGGTTTTAGTAAAAACAGAAAAAAATCATGGGACACCCTAATAATCTGCCAGAAGTGCATTTGAAGCCGAAATCTGCTGCAAAAGTTTTTAGCATAGCCTATGACAAAAACTTCTAGCTAACACCTGAAATCACTAAGATTAGGCTATACAACTTGATTTGCTGATTAAGGAGAATTGAGGAATACATGGACAACGACGCCGAGATAATCTTCTTCGATCGCTTTTATAATTGGGAAGTTGCTGCTGGGTCGTACATAGTCAGAAATACGCAATGGACCCAGAAATTCCTCAAAGGTCGAGCAGGGACATTACGTACCCTGCGCTCAAAATAAACCATTTCAGATCTCGCCGACTATGAGCGTCGGTTACCGCGGCAATACCATGGAACAGACAATGGAGCACTTCATGTTAGTTTATGCACCACATTTTGTGAGATGTTGAATAGACGCAATGTCACATAATAACACATAATGACATACTACCTAAACATCCGTGTTGGAAACCTGAGAATCGAAACACGCAAAACCGGTGCAACTCAGTCTTTATTCGCACCGTCACTTCGGCGTGCTACAGATGTCCTAAACTTAACCAAATATCAATTCAGGCTTTGCTCGGCGAAGTTTTGTTTGGTGAAGATAGGAAATCCGAGCTGAATTTCTGCTTGCGTATCTACTACAACCTACTTATCCCTGAAGACCTTTTCACATTTGAGGCGTGCATTCGTCAAATGCTGGGAATGAACAACAAGTGGGGAAAAATCAAAATACTGAAGAAGGTAAATTGACAGTTCTTCCACTACTGTAATTCAAAGACATGCGTATTAGGGGACTGCTTGGGTGAGAGACAACTGGATGACGAACACAAAATGGTCGCCAGAGAGAGATTTTATGATGCATAACTGGAAAATAACTCAACTGAGGAAGTATATGGGTTCTGATTTGCCTCTCATGTAAGCTAGCTTTACTAAACTGATCTCTGGCTATAGTCCATCTGTCAAGTTATGTCGTTATTTAGGCTGCATGGCCCTTCAAAAGGAGAGTGGTTTCTGCCCTTTCTTGGAATGTTTCGATTAGATTTGTGTACTCCAGGGTAAGCTCTAAGGTAAATTTTATATTGTGAGGAGGGATCTGTCAATTACAGCAACCTCACTTGGAACTACGATCCTAATCTGATAGAGACTACAGCAAAAATCGAACGAAAGCTGCAATATCTTTATGATAGAATAGAAAGAGATAGAATCAAAAGTTTAGCGAGAATGATAGAATATTTATGAACATCTGCAATCAACAGAAATTACTTCTCTGCCTTAGCTTGATTTACATATGTAATATTCGCGTTAGTCTTGTTCAGGTCTTAATGTACCTCTTTTATGGTTTCGTCTTTCATACGGTTACAGATCAGCATTCCAAACATTCTTCGGTACTTTTCAGTTATCCTGACTCATTTTTTCAAAAGGTTCTCATAATACACGTTCTGTAATCTAAAAACAATTTTTCATAGAATTTACGAAGGCTGCCTCCCCGCCTCGTGTCAGGAAGAAATTGTCACGTTTTAGTCCATTGACTTGTTCCCGCTTATTTAAAAGAGCATTTGTGAGCACCTGAAAGCCTTTTATTATAATTGTTTCTGTAGGAGCAAAACTGTCTAGAATTTATCCCAATCTTGACTGCCTTCTGCAATAATTCAAAATTGTTCTCCTCTTCAAGCTTCCCGCCATGCGAATTTAACCAGGAGAGACTATAAATGATGGCTTGCAATTCTCGCTGCTATTTGGCCCCTTGAATAATGGAATCCCAACGCATCCCTCCATTCTGGGCAGTTGTAATCTGTTCAAGAATAACAGGATGACGTTATTATCATAACAGTGTTCGTTTTTAATCGAAAATGGGGTCATTACTGACCAAAAAACAATTTGAAATTATGCCACTAGATAGAGCAACACAAACTCTTGTTAAAACCTATTGAACAGTAGATGACATGTCAAATTTTTTGACACGTGGCAGAAGGTTGACACTCCTTTATGTGAATTTGGGTCTAAATGTGGTACAAGGTCAGAAGAAAGGTCTCTTCTTTGAAAAAATGAGTTTGGATAACGAAAAGTACCCATTTTTCTTCAAAAAAGTCCTTTTCTTGTCTATCTCATCCTACCCCGTTTACGGTACAAAAGTAGATGACTCGTTACACTCGTATAGAACAGCGAGCATGTGATATCCCTGTGATATCCATGTGTTTTTACTAGAGCAGGACGATCCGTGATGCAATCGATTTGAATTGTGATGCGAATTAAACTCAGCAATAAAATGTTCAAGAAGTTACTGCTAATGGACTGGGAAACAGCCTGACGCGCTAGCAGCCATCAACAAGTGACTTCGAAAAATGATTTGTCAGCCGCCGTCGTTCAGGAAGTGGTTACGAACCACTTTCCAAGCGGAGGCTGATAAATCATTTAGGGCAAAAAAAAATTCACGCTAACATAGTAATCTTGACTGCCAATCAGCGTTCTTGAATACGGTACACTGATTCCTGCACTAGTCAGGTGGTGGTGTGTACAAGAGCTGCATTACTCTGCTTCAGTGAATCACAACTACTGCTTAGTTGCTGTAGTTGAGAACTCCCAATCACACCACATAAGAAGTCCAGTAGAGACGCTTTTGCACAACTACAAATTTGGCTTTGCCTTGCTTTGCGAAAGGTGTTAGATCTTTACGATTCTGTCGTCGCTTCGCGAAGCGTAGTCGCACTCCAAGTCGGAATCGGGCCTCTATGCTATAGGCCTAAGGCATACCTCTCACGATTTCGCGAAATCGCCACATCCTCGCGACTTGGCGATTTACCAGATGTCTAGAGATTAAGCATGCGAGGCTCTCAGATGCATGGGTGCGTAGATTCCGTAAATTGTAACAAACACAGCAGGTCTGGCCCAAGCAAAGTGCGTTTACGACCAGCTTTGGAGAGTCGTTGCAGTGCCAAATCGCGCGGCGACTAAAATCGCGTGAGGTATGCCTTAGGCCTAAGGCATACCTCGCGCGATTCCGGTCGCTACGCGATTTGGCACAACAGCGACTCTTCGTTATTCGTTGTTGATGCGCTGCCTCTGGTCAGAACTTGATGCGTTTGCAACAGCTTATACAAGCTACCCAAATATGCGTTCGAGAAGCGCGCACGATAGATTCGTAGAAATCTGGCAAATCGCCAAGTCGCGTGAAAGTGGCGATTCGGCCAAATCACGTGAGGTAGCCTTAGGCCTTAGGCCATAGGGCATTCGAAAAATCGTGACGATAGCGCGACCGCGCGCGACACGCAGCGGGTGTGGTGCGGAAGGCGACAATCCCCAATTTTTGTGCCTTTCAAAACTCCTCGGTGCCAAAGTGACACGGGGCAAAGGTAGGGGGTGGGGGGTGGGGGCAGATACATGACTCGATGCCACAAGCAAAATTCTATAAAAGTTTGCAAGAGCGATTTTACACTGCTTGCATTTTGCGCTCATTGTCGCTTTCCGCGTGCCCCCCCCCCCCACACGCAGCACCCCCCGGCGACCGTATTTTCTTGGTTTCCGTCTCTAATCGAATGGTATTTCTTTACATGTGACAGTGTTTGGACATTGGAAGTGACCGAGCTGAGAGTTGAAGTTATGCCTTTTTGTATGAGTATTTTCTGCTCTTGTGGGCGCAAAGACCGCAGTCAAATCAGTCGTCACGATTTTGTAAACGACCTTCACAGTATGTTGTTTCGTGCGAGACTCCGCTGCACTTTCTTTGTTTCCATCAGTTGTTTTCGTTATTTTTTTTCATTTTATTTTTTCCTATTTGTACGATTTCACAGGCAACTCAAACAACTGTCACAGTGTTGTGCTCACACTGCGCACGACATTTTTAAGAATTCAAAGTGTGAATGTTATTCAGAAAATGAGTCCAGTTAATTTGCTTGTCTTGAAGATGACATACTGCTTCATAAACTCATCAAACCAATTCAAACTGCTTTGTAAACCCATCACTAACATTCACCGCCATAGCAATAGTCACTCAGCTAACTTGTGTCTAATGAATATTCAAGCACTGAATAAAAGGTACGAAGCAAATATGCAGAGTAGTTGCCTACGAAGCATCACTCAGATTTGTCATGATAGATCAGTTGATTTCTACGTTCCCTCTTCTCCTTTTCCAAGCTTGCTAGTAATTCCTCGGGTGTCGCAATCACCTCGTCGCTGTTCAGCCAAGTACAGTAAGCGCGGATAATTGACGCAAATGCGGCAGCGAGAGCAGAGTTGGTGAGGAAGAGGAGACTGCTCCAATAAAGTGCTTCCATTATGGAGTTCTGTAACCATGACAGAGAATCGCTCAGTTATATTTAATCTAATAAGTCACCAAAGTTCTCACCTTTGTTCCGTGGCCATATACCTCTTTTCCCGACAATGTGGTCAACGACATCATGGCTAGTAAATCTCCTAGTGTCGTCCTAGTATCGGTGCCACTATGCGAGGAGTAGAGCGATGCGCCTATATTGTCCGAGAAAAAGCTCAACACCAAAAATATCGCATTACTAACAAAGAATCGTAACTCCCACAAAATAGCAGAGTGATAAAGTCATAACAATCAAGTCACGTGTCATGAGTCTTTTTTGGTAAGCCGAGGTGAGGCACTGTGCCAAGTCTTTTGGCATTTGCAAAACGCATGGGAGCATCACAGTAAAGATCCAAGTGATTGTAGCTGCCATTGATGCTGAAACACTCGATCAGTAATGTATAGTAATGTATTATCTACTAACCGATAATCAGTACTGCAACACTTGGTCCGAGCAGTTTATAGTACAAGGAAAGGAGATGGGTGACAACTGAGAAAATCTCTAAGTTTCTTAACGGCTGAACGGACATGATTTGGCAGACGACAAACCAGATGCTGCAAAAATGTAATTTTCCTTTTCAAAAGCAAAAGGAAATACCTTGATGGGTATGTCCAGTAAGTCGTTTCAGGTCGTGACGAAGAATGCCGCACTGCGTTTTGGAGGTAATTGTCCAAGTATCTGACGATTATATCTGAACGTTGAGATGTACAGCAACCTCTTATAGTTTATGTCAATTACGTACTCCCTTGCGTAGAGATTACGCATGCGCAACGCGAGGACCTTGCGTGCAGACCTCCAGTCGATGAGGCCAATTTGAATGCTCAATATACTTCAGACCGAATTGGATATATATTCGAGTAGTCGAATAAAGTATGTGAAGATACTTATTCAAAATTCGTTTTGAAAACTCCGAAATCTCGAATATATTCGACTAGCGACCCTACGGGTCGCTGTAAGTCGGGTCGGGGTAGATACATTAGCATCTGCTTAGTTGGGACTGCATCTAACTATAAACGGTGTTCACATTTCCCTTCTAGAAAAACTTAATAAACGAAAAATAAAGCACAAACAACGAATAATATGTGATTCTTCCATCCAAATACCACCAATAGAATTCAGTAATTTGTTACAGCTTGCTTCTTTCGTTGCCTAGTTAAAATCAACATAATCAAGGCTGACCAAAACAGACGCATGCTGGGTCCTTACTCCGGGAGCAAGGGCAAGATGTAGGACTCCGAAGCAAAGACGCTTGGCCGTAGAACAATGGGGGAAAACTTTCAGTGTTTAAAAGCAAAAACTGAGGTGGTTGGAGACCGCGGGCAATGTGGCGTTAATTCAGTGAAATCGAGTTCTTTGTGCAAACTGTGGGAAAAACGAAACTTTTCGCACCAAACCGTTCAGCCACAAAGAGAGCTGCCGGAGCTCGATCAGCGAGACCACAGCTTTCATGAGGTCTTCATTCCGGGAGCAAAGACATTTTCCGTGGCATAAATTCCGTCGAAATTGAGATTTTCACAGTTTTTCGTGAAAACTGTGGGGGAAAACAAAACTTTTCGCACCAATAACTGTTCAGCAACAGTATGAGCCTGCCGTAGCTCAACCACAGCTTCCCTCTTACGGTATGTGTAAGGTAGAAGAATTGAAATTTGTCTAAGACTTTGTTTCGAGTTAATCAGCACGCTGTTCACGACAGTCATTCCTCTGGTGGAAATGTGTAATTCACGGTTGAGCGCTTTTCCCACCTTACTCGATCCTAGTTTTTCCTCAAGTTTGAACAAATTCGCTCCTTGATCACGACCCCCCACCCCCTTGCTCTTATCCCCGATACGATACCCCAGGTTGGGCGCGTCTGACCCCACGCTCAAACCTGGTAATAATAGATTTGCAAATTCATCGTAAATTCTCCCTTTTAAACTGAAACATAGAAAAACTCATTTCGGATGTATGCCAAAAGGTGCATTTTGATTGTCAGCTAGGCAGCATCTAGCGCATAATCTGATTTTTTGCAACGCTCTAGATGCATTTTAAATTCGTACGAACATAAACTAGTTAGCTGCATGGGTTGCTCACCCAAATTATCGCAAAGTAAACACAAATGGTGGAAGTCAAAAGCTGAAGCCACTTTTTCCGGGGTTTTGTGAAGAGTCGCATAACACTGAACTGGACTTTTGCGTCAATGATCGCAAGATGGCGACTTGACCCTCTCTTACATTTCGATAGGCACGGTCTTTTTGCCACGCCAAGCGACATCCCCTCCCGCTAATTTGAATACATTTTCGACTCTTTCGAGTCTTTGCAAAAATAGGCAGGGAGGCTGGGATTCGTCGGGCGTGCTTGTTATGGGCCATGCCTGGCATAAACATTTCTGAAGTGGACAGAGCAGAGCAACCTTGCTACAGTACCCGTCGCACTCCGATTATCCCCGACCGTTCCCTGGAAGTGAGACGGAAAACCGACAACAATGTGTGCACTGGGTGCAGCCCCTGGCAAGCCCCGTACATCTCGCTGCCTTGTTGCTGCCGAGTTTCTCGCATATGGAATAGCGCAGTTGCTAAGGTCATGCACTGCTTGTTTCCGCAAATATTTGGTTATACTTAAGAAAGGAATTTTGCCCTGTCAATACTGAAAACGTGAAGCCATTTTTCAGTAATTAGTATTGTTTTGTTCTGAAACAAAAAATGAATTTATCAAACATTCACAAATTTATAACCTCAGCCCTAGTTGGTAATTTTTTTTGAATGAGGATGTATACTTACAGCATGTAGTAGCTATGTATATTCATTTTGCCTGATCCAGAATACACTTTTTCAGAAGATCCCGACGATATACTCTGCAGACACAGGGCTCGGCACGGTGGCTTACAGGGCAAGCTGGATATCGTTTCGGAATAAAAAGCAAGGGGGATATCGTTCAAGCGCCCCCCCCCCACACACATGCACACAATCGCCTTCTGCCTTTATGTCACACATCTTCTATAAAAGACGCAAATTCTCATTTCTGTCTCATTGATCTGCAGAAACCAAAAATTTCCTGTTTCAACATGGTCGCCGGTTAAGCGCACGAATTCAAACCTACCCCAAAATAAACGGAAGATTGGTTACAGCGAAGAGAATATGAAATGATAACAAAATTGGTGTGTAGATGGGCAATAAGGAGTTAGGACTCCTTCTTTCACATAATTTTCTCACATCTTTAACATAACCTTGTTCTGCATCAAAAACCTTACAACGCGTTTTTGGATCTCCCTAAACCCCTACTTCCTCGTCTAGTTACAGCCCTTCAAATATTTTGTATGGCGGCGGCAAGCCTGCTCCAAGCGCGCAAGGGTGCGCGCCGGACACAGCATACCGCCAATTCGACGAATACAAACATCTTCAGTTTTTTTTTCGTCTGTTTGATGTTAGTTTTATGTATTGTTCCATTATTTTTCGTTATTCGTTTTGATCCGTTCATAGTCGCGTCATAGGTGATGTCGTATTTTTGCATCGAAGTCTACAGGAACTTCGTTTTCAAAAAATTGTAAAAGCCACCTCATGCCGAGCCCTGTGCAGACACGCTCGCTTGATTCATTTAATGATCTTCATCCATTTCTCCATTTTTATTTGCTTATCAAGGTTCTTTATGAATCAGAAATTTGTTTTTGAATTTGATCTACAAAGTTAATAAAGAAGTTTATCAACAAATAGCACAAACACTTCAAATTGTGACTGCAGGCTTAATCAGTTCAACAAAAGATAAGGCTGCAGAGCTCATTTTGAACAAAAGAGAGTGTTTTTAGTATCCTTCCCCTTTTAGCAGCCTTTACGATAGTCAAGCTTGCATTTTGAAGTCGCACCAACCGGGAGTTGAACCCGGGTCTGTACGGTGGGAGGGTTCAATGATACCGCTACCCCATTAGTGCTAGCGTTGTATTTGCTTCCGCCGCCGTTCTTTCACAGAATCTATTGTATTTCTCACAAAGAAGCCGATGGTTTTCCAAAACAAGAAGTTTTCTATTTCTTCTAAATCCAATTTCGGCTTCTGTAAGTAGTTCATCTCGAGTGATGTTAACGCATCGCAAATTGCGGAGGACGTGCAGGATTCTCCAAAGACCCGCCGCTTCTTCTCCAGGTGCGCCCGTGGGAGGCAATAATTCCTTCGCGCCTACCTCGCGCTTATGCCGCACCTGTCTCGCACATTCATGCGATAGTTCCCCTACGGACTAGCGCCTTGTTCCTCCTGGCATTAATCAGAAGAGGACACTGATTGAACGAGGATTTTTCAATGATAATAGAAGATGTGAAGATGTGAAACGCTCAGTATTCAACAAACGGAGGTGAAACATTAGGTCACCTCAGTCAATGTAATTAGAAAGGTTGTTGTTTTCGTAGTCTGAAAGGTTACCCCATCAACGATTTCTCAGTGAAACAAAAAAGAAGTGAAAATCAAGCTGACTGACAGACAAATATTCGGTGGCACAAGTTTTGCGACTATATTCGTTGCTTTTCTCTTTTTGGCTGTGACGCATTCATCTTTGGATATAATGCAGATTAGGTGGTATAGAAATGTGCTCAAACAGCTTGGTTTTTGATAGCGAAGCGGGGTGAAATTACGCATTTTTCGAAAGCTGATCAAAGTTTTAAGGGTCGAAAATCCAAAAATAAAGTCGTTCACAGTACGAATCAAACGCATCAAGCCGAAACTAGATCATTAGAGACTCCTCAGAACGATACGGTTCCGGCTTGATGTGCTTGATTCGGACTGAGAACGGCTGTATTTTGGGTTTCCCGATCCTTGAAATTTCGAATTTGACAAAACTTCGAAAAAAAAAGCCAAAATTTTCTTTACTTCGCTACCAAAAATCAAATCTCCACATATATTTGTAGCCTACTACCTACTCTACATTATGCTCAAAAATGAATGCATCACATTCAAAAAAAGGAAAGTTACAAAAATAGTTGCAAAACTTATTTGTGTTAACCTACTACATTCAGCTTGGATATTGAGATGTGGTAGATAAAAGGAAAAACATTGATCATGTTTTCTTATCAGCGAAGTAAAGTCATGAGCATATTTTTGGAATTACCCCAGTTTCACGCGTATAAGGCGCGGGGGATTTTTTTTTCCAAAATCGACCAGCCAGACAAGCCAAAGGACTTTACAACCAAAGGACCCTATAACGTGCTGTCTATTGCTTGAGAGAATCGTGCGATGTAAGGATTTTTTTCCGGAATACAGTGAAGCGGCTGAGCGGCTCGCTTGAAACGAAAAAGTGCGCCTTATACGCGTGAAATAGGCTATGACTTCAAAATACACTGTACATCATTTTTTGGTAGTTCAATGGGCCCGTTGTACCCAAACTTTTGTCCTAATGGGAACCGACGCTTCGAATGGATATGTAATTCAGCAGGACCAGAATCAGCGAAAATTGTTGATGAAAATTCTTTTTTGATTGATTTCTCTCTTAGATGCCATGTTTCTGCAAAGCTTCCTTCTGGGAAAGTTTTGAGCTTTTCTTATTGCGAAATTGAATGCATCCCGAGCTGCAAAATAATTTTCACCAAAACGATGCAGACTCAGTTAAAAGACCTGTTTAGTATCGTACATATTTTGATGCCATTCGTACTTTTTCAAGTGTTTTCCGGCCAAGTTACTGTCCACACGCCTTTTCTTTCTCGGCTACACTTTCATTAATAAATACGAAAAAGCTCATAACATCCTTTGGGTGAACGCTTCGCAGGTACAAAAGTCAGCACTTCGAACTCTATGTATTGGTATGCATCAAATTCCAACTTCTTCACCAGGGGAGTGACTCCTGGCAAGAGGCACTTTCATTTGTCATTAGTTCCCCAGTTTTCTCCTTCTTTGTTATCATTGAAGAATCAATGTTCACGAGGTGAACCTTCTGATTAATGCTAGGAGAAACAAGACGATTCTCCGGAGAGAAACTATCGCAAGAATGCGCGCGACAAGTGCGAAGTAAGCGCGAGGTAAGCGCGAAAAGATTATTGCCTCCCAAGGGCGCGCTTGGAGAGGAAGCGGCAGGCCTTTGGAGGATCCTGATACGCCGCCGCAAACTGCCATCATTGATCACAAGAGTATGTTTCTCGGGCAAAATATTACGGGGTTGTTGGCCTAGACATATCGATAATAATAGGTAATTATTTGCCATCACATAACGACACCCCCCAGTAGCAAAATTTGCCCTTAGGTTTGACTAGGAATGAAATTGAGAGAAATTGGCTGCTTTCTTTTTTTAACCAAAATAATGGTTTCAAAAACGTTCCTTACCTGAAACACACGATATGTCATCACACACATTTTGCCGAAATGAGGTTTTTCAAATTATAGACAATGAGGTGTGAGACGTTTGGAGGTTCAGTAATGTCAGGCTGCCGGGTGCGGGAAGTTTCTCACCTGAGCCATATTCTCGCACCTGAGTGACGTGCCTGCCAGGCACATCCGAGCTCGCTATAATTACGAGCTCCTGCAGGAGACCAAGGCAATGCAAGCCCCGCCTTCTCATAAAATGTCGCTACAGATGCTGAAAGCGGAATTTCAAAAAGACTTTGAAAATCGAAGTTCAGAAGTGAATTTGCTCCAATCAAGACAAAATTTCGGATTCGGGGTTTTTGAGGTTGCTCTTTTCAGTAGTGAGATATAAGAAGATATTCGCTTATTCGAAATTTGTCAGTGTCGAATTTATTCGACTACTTGGTCATTCGAAATTTTGATTTTCGAATACATTCGAACATTCGAATATCTACTTTCAAGTTATTCGATTATTCGTCACAACTTCACATTTTTGACTGCTATATCAGCAAATATTGTTTGTTGTTCAAGTTGGCCACTGCATAGAATCCTTTATTGTGCTGATTCGATCAAAATTGGTTTGATATACGACCTAGTCAACGCAACTCGAAATATCCGATTATTCGACGATTTTCTTAATTTCGAAAATATTCGGTATACGGATAATGGACATTTTTTGTCTTTGAAAATATTCGAGATTCGATTATTCGATATTTTTTGGGTTTCGAGTAAATTCGATTTTCCGATTACTCGAAGTTTTTTGAATATTTCGAAGTATAATGCCCAAACAGGGTTAAGCAAAAGGTGTGGCACACAACCGCATATGACCTCCCGCCCCCATTTTTGTGTGCCTTCAGCAATGAAATAAAGGCTTTATCGACCATAACTAGTAACATATTCGTAATTATCATGTCAAAAACCCCTGTGGGCCAAGTTTTAGGAATTCTGAGTATTCCCAATATTGGGATACCCAAGTAAAGTGGCCATTTTCAAACATGGTTCACAATCAAATTTCCTCTTTTCGTAATACAAAGCACTATCCATATTCGCCTATATCATGAGTCCTGCTTCAAACGTCAAAGTGTGAAATTAAAAGCCAGCCAAAATCTCGCTTGTCCCATTTTTTCCTCGCAATGGTTATACTTCCAGAACTATTGCTCAAATGAAAGAAGACCAATTCAGCTCTAATCACTTCCACGAAAACTACGAGATTTTGGCTATCGAACTGTATATGATTCCTTCCTAATACTCTCTTTGAAGTTAAGTTAATGGGGTGTGGCAGAACCTCAGAAAAGCTGTGACTGCCACACACAACTTACCTATAAAACATTCAAATACCTGCGCTTTTTATATCGTTGATACCGCTTAACTTTCTTCTTCAGATAGCAGGAATTTCATTTGAAATCGTTTCTTTTCGGGAAACATAATCGTTTTTCCTTGCCCAAATGAAAAACACTACGGAAATATTGGGTTACGGTTAAATGCTGAGTTTCTACTACTTGAATTTCCAGGAAAGGCGGCGAGTCATTTTTATAAAAGTGATTTGAGCTTGATTGGTCTTCTCTAGTCTGAACTATTGAAAGATACAAAGGAGATTTTGGCTTGCTCTTAATTCTACAGTTTGGGGCTTAATTTGAGACGAAGACATGAGCAAAAACGTAGTAGTTCTTTGTATTAACTGCAAAAGAAGTAGTTAACTCACCTTTGAAACAAAGGTAACTGGTTAGAAATGACCATCTCGCCTGGGTGGTCTAATATTTGGAAAGCTCAGAATTCGTTATAACTTGGCCCACAGGGGTTATTCGACACGCTGATTACGAAAACGATGCACTTATGCTTCTATAGATCTTTTGTCCTGCTCCGATAACCCCCCCCCCCTCCCTACATGCGCGCGAACGTGGCGCGAGGCTCTGGAGCGGCGATTGCGCTTATGGAAAAGGGAGCACGTGATTGACACAGACTGTACTTTTTTAGTCGCTTTCTACTTTCCTGCTCACCTTCAATTTCAGTTTTCGGTAGTTTCTGCTCCTTCGCTGCCTTGGTGACTTGATTAGAGAGGGTCGAACGGCTTTGTTCCCACTAATCGGACATTGCTAGCGTTCATATTTGATTTGTGCATCAAAATTATACCTTAAGCTCGTCGAGAAAACGATCCTGCATGGTAGTCTGTTCAAGTCGCCATTCGGAAGAGTAGATGACCCTAATGTTAAAATTTGCACGGCTGCAGCTCTCATTATTATAAAACCTACCACGGAACTAAGAATAGTGTTACGGCAACACAGCTAAGGAGAACTATCGAACCAATAATTACACGTACATAGAACATGACCAGATCCAAGAGAATTATAGTGTGGAGATGACCAGGATGCAAGCAGCAAGCAAATGAGCATGGCAACTAGAACTAAAACGTGGATTCGTCTCTTGGAGACACAACATTAGACCTAAAACACATTGATTCAGCGAGACAGCTCGAAAAGCTAAAACCGATCCAGTACAAGAAGTAAAGGAAAGCTTGGAAATGCACATGAAGTTAATTGCAGTCTCATAGGAGTTATTTAAATACTGCTGTCTATATTTATCCAAGCACCTAACAAGACGAACAAAACGAACTTCATGGAAATAAAAATCAAAAAGTCGATTTTTGGAAATTAGCGTTCTTTAGAAGTTCGCTAAGAACTCTTACAGTAATAATGAAATAAGTTTTGTGTTTAAGATGACCAATCTACTAGAAAAATGGCGTTCTCAATACTTTCTTCGTTCTCCAGACTCTCTCTCACCAAGACATTGAAAAATGCGTGGATAAACTGCTTCTTTCCAATATTAAATAAACTGACTTAATAGTGACCGAAATTGTCGATAAGCTATGTATAGGTCATTTATAAAAAGGTGACGACGGATTTGACTCCGGTCTTTACGCGCACAAGAGCATAAAACACTCATACATAATGGTATCACCTCAACGCTCAGCTCAGTCACTTCCAGCGTACAGATACTATCTTACGAGGGAAGGATACTTGGTGACCGTGGCCTTTTGCAATGAGAGGTACATAGTAGGTCCGTCTTGGAACGCTGATTCTAAATCTATGTTCATTATCTGCTGTGCGACTCCCTGAACGAAGTTATGAAAATTTTTCCAAAAAAATTTTGCGAGATTTAGGCAGTTAAAATCGTCAGTATCCAGGCTTTTTAGACTCTGATGTTTTGATGACAGTTTTACTGCACTTAGCGTGAAGCTTTACTTCATCTCTACGCTCTTTTGTAGTGCATAAGCGAACATTCTAACGATATTGGTGAATCCTGCATCAAAAACAGTGCAACTTTTGGTGACAAGAAATGTTCATAACTTTTTTCGGAAAAGCGCACAGCAGATAGTGAAAACAGATTTGGAATCAGCGCTTCAAGATGTCTTTAATGGTGTGCGTCTTATTTCACAAGGCCAAGGTCACCTAGTATCCTTTCCTTGTTAGATAGGAAGAAAAACCATTGAAGTAGGGATGAAATCCAAGAAATTGCTGTTTCCAAAAGGCGCATGCGTGTGTCGCGAAGGTCGCGCCATTGTCACAATTTTTCGAATGCCCTATAACCAGAGGAGCACTCAAAAATGGCAGGAGTTGCTAGCAAGTCTTTGAGCAGCATATAGTTTTTTTTTTGGAGTTTTCCTGTTCGCTCGCATTTGTCTACCAGCTTTTAACTTCTTGTACCTGGCAATATTTAATTAGTGCCATTCCCAACACAAACCTCGTTTGTAAACCTTACCTCAATATTCGGGCAGATTCAACACGATGAAGTCCATCTTCATTCCATGTGGATGAATGACGGTTCAAAATGTGGAATTCTTGAATTTCATCTTAATTCTAACTCCGAATTGTACATTACAAGCAATGATATCGGGTTTTTGTATCCTACGCTCTTCAGTTGGAAGGATACAGAATTGAAGAAATTTATGTGGGACATCATTTTGCGGTTTGTTTTTATGCATGTTCATTAGCAGAGGAACTGGTGTTACGTTTTCCTCACATAATTAGCGCAACTGTATTCCAATGTTCTAGTTTATTTTATTGAAAAAAATGATTATAAAACATGAAATATAATGAAAGCATTCATATGAATTGATACCACAGCAGTGTATGAAATTGTAGAATATCCCTTACGAAGACAAGAATGAAGAACGTCAACTTGTCAACATGCATTAATAGGTATGACAGTGACATGAAATGTGTAACAATACCGTATATGTACAAGATTTGATACATAGTAACCGTCAATGTATAGTAAAACTATAAGAATTGCTTTGGTTGTTTTACGCCATAAGAGAGAGCATTTTTTCTAGTGGATCATTTTCACTGTCTTTTGCTTGTACGTCTTCTTTGACTGGATCGGATTGGCCGTGGATGACGGCAATTATTGGGCTACCTTAAAACATTGTGTTATATAAGGGAATGGGAAAGATAACTTGAACTGTAGGCTTACCTTGAATTGTTCCAAAAACCAAAGGATTTTCTTCGAGTACCACCTTTGGTGGAGCAGCCACAGCCAAAGTGACAATGCTTGAAGCGAGCAGCACGACGAATATTGAAGGTACCATATCTTGAAAAAAAAACTTTGAGCAACAATTACAAGCGACGCGGAGGAAGAAAAAGACCAGATCCAGAAAAAGCCATTGAAAAGCCGATCACGAAGTGACTGCTGCTCTTTATGGCAGACCGTATCAGTGGGTGGGGTGTGAACCAGAGGGACGTCGGGACCCTGGCGCCTCGTTGGCGGTTCGCCTGTCATCTCGCGACAACACGAACACGCGCGTTGAAGATGGATCACACCTGCTAGAATCAGCGAAAATAGAATCTCCGCGTATTGAGAGGTTAAAACCCACTATCGAAATCTGCTCCCAAGCACCCGAACTGTGATAAAGGTAGTTCCGGATCGCGCATATAGAAGAGTGATTTGTAACTTAACATGTGAAACCGCACATGTCAGGAGGACAGCTCACGACATCTTACTGTCAAATAGTAAAGAAGTCGTACTCATTTAGCCAAATATAAAGCAAAGATTGTTTGCGTTTCTTTGTGACTATTCAAGCTGAGAAAGAGAAGGGAATACAAAGAAAAACCCGAAAATTGGCATTGTGCAACCGCATGAGTCGTGGACTGCTATACAGTAGCTCAGGACATACAATTGCCTCATTAGAAGGATAAAAGTTGACTTTAGCTAATATGACATTTGTTTCTAGATTCTAAGCAAGCATCAGAGGATTTCAACAATTCCTTACTGTGAACACCTTAGCAGTTTCACTTTTGCTTGTCACGTAAGTCTGCGGTAACCCTCACCGAGGAACATATTCTGGAATCTGTATGTCACTCTTCTTACTCGGTGAATGGCTATTGTGCCATGAATGAGAGAGGGTCTGAATAGCTCTGAATACTCTGTCAGCACGCAGTTTATGGAGGATAGACGTTGGTGCTTACTATGTGGAGGACAATGAACACTTCTTCTTCTAATTTTCAGAGATACATAGAGTAATGCAGATGATTTCAACAAAGCCGGCTGAATGATTCAAGTCATTTTCGACTATTAATCTTTCTCTTGAGAACTCACTCATAAATGAGGGTATCTCCAAAAATATACAGTAACAATGGCTAGATGCCACTTCACAGTTATCCTTCAATGACGAGTTAAAGCTAGAATCAATCTAGCGTAGTGACTATTGGCTCTAAATGTCCGAAAACGAAATTAAATGCTTTAATAAACATTCAATAGAACCTTGATAGAAATTTTTCTTTTGCGACAAAAGCTTGTAGGCTATAGCCGATTAGCAACTAGCATAAAGAATATAGTCTGCCCCAAACGGGATCAATCCGAACCATCGGCTGAAATTGAGCGCTCGCAGCGCTAGGGGTTTGCGCTGCACACGCGCGCTGTCGCAGAGAGCGAAGAGATTGAGGAGAGAGCAGACTAGCTAGCCGCAGAAGTGGCGCGAAACCCTCGCGACGCGGACTCCCGCCATGCCAATTTTGGCCTGGTTAGGATTGGGGCAAACTGTACAATTCAGTGCAATGTGATTTCTTTTCATGAGTTTCTGTTCCATGACATGCAGAAAAATATAGTTTAGGCTTTCACTCACATTGACGTTCATGAGCAGGATTTTGAGATTAGTTTTCAAATCATAATTTATCTATACACCGACGATTTACGGGTGAGGTGGTACTCCCATCCATTTTCCATCCAATGGGAAATATTATGCAACTTACATAAACGAGTACGATTTTTGTAGCGTGGTAATGAATGTAATTATTAATCCAATAGGCCCACATATGTTGAAGATTTCTTTTACCGAAACTTCAGAATTTGCGAGATACATATGCTGCATTACTAGCAGCCACTCCCCGATTGATGACACGCTCGCATGTCTTTCATGTGAATAGTCTATAGTACAACAATCATTTCGTATCTGATTTGTGTAACTGCACTCACTATCCGTTTTGCGCGTACCCATCTCTATGCTTTAACCATTTTGCATACATGTGCAGGAAAATATCTACTGTAGATGCTTTCGATATGTCAGAAGTACTGAAAGTATAAGAAAGACGCTGAAAGACCACTTATCCTGAAGAACTCGTTTTTATGGCTGGGCAAATCCAGGGTAGCACCATGCAATGATGTTGTATGCATTCACATATAACAGGATATGAAACTGTATGTCGATCGTGCTCGTAAAATCTGTACAACGAATCAATTAATTAAATTTAATTATCAGAACATCTCTTCTACCGCCCACAGCATCATCTGAAAGTAGTAGAATTCAATGCGCGACCTTCAAATATAAGTTCCCGTTTTGGCGTTTCAGTGATGCCAAGCGGCCAATTTGGCACCTAGGTGTCCGAGTTGTCACCTTCCTCATCAACCTCCATCGTCAACGGCGTAAGCGTACGCGTTATCATCAGCTGTTACGATCTCATCACTCGCCACAGTGCTATACGAGGTGACAACTTAACGACGATCTGTTGTAACAAAGGACCTTCTTGATTGGTTGTGGTCGCTTCGAAATTGGACAGTGCCGATTTCATCTCTACGCTTCGTCATCGTAAGAAAGCAATTGCTGCACGGGAAGAGTTTAAGTCAAGACAAAAACAATTTCAGGGCGTCCGTGGGCGTGCTTAGAATGAGGAAAACAGCTATGAAAAATCTATGTTTGCAAGTTTTTATAGGCCCTGAGAATCGTTCTTAAGGCTTCCTGTACACAGCGGTAGGGCAACGTACATTTTTAAGAGAAGAGATCTGCAATGAATTTTTGGGTTTCTTTTGATTACAAAGACGTGGGTTCCTGTTCCCTACAGCATAATCTGTTGCTCATGATCGAAGCTACAGAATGTTTTGACCGCTCAGTGAATATGCAAAAACACCATTCTCGACAAAAATAAGATTTGGCATTTCAACACTCTGCACAATTTGAAGAATACCATTGATAAAGAATCAAACATCTGTTGAAGAGATTAATTAAATAAACTCTGTTTTGTTAATGTAATGTTTTTTCACACTGCTGCGACCTTTACACACGTCACATATATTGAAACCCTAAAAATGCAAAAGCCAACCACATTGACAAATGATCGAAATCACGCCGTTTTTTCTTGGGCGGGGGGGGGGGGAGGGAGGAGGAGTTAGTCATGTTATTTCAAGCATAATTGAAGCTTACGTACTGTCGTGTTAGAACAAGTCCGTGAGTATGTGACTCTATAGCCTAATCACTTTGTTAGTCGTATGACATTCGATTCAAAATAATCATAAGGAACTATCGAAGTTGATTGTTGCAGATGTAGATAAAATCTACAACATAAAAGTTAACCTGTACCATAGCGGAGGGTACAGGAAGACCGCGATCTTACAGTTTGGAATAAAAATAAATCCGGGTTCAGCGCAGATGCCTCATAAGTCGTGTCGAATTACCATGCTCGGATACGATGCAAGCAAAATTGTGGCATAGTCTTATCAGAAGTTTATGCATTCGTGGATCTGTTCAATTATGGATCGTTACCCATCGAGAAATCCATCTGACAATGTATTACGATTCAAAGTTCAACTGACGTGTAAGAGTGTCAGTTTTGCTCGGGCTTCTACTGAGTGTGTAAGATGGTTAGCAAATGGAAAACAGGTTTTACTGTGAGCAAATCAAAGCGAATATCTCAGCCAGTCAAATTTCATGGCTTAATTTGCAGCTATTTTCTGCTGCGTAGCAAGTACATGATTTTCACTCAACAGATCAGCAACTACTATGGTCACCTATATATGAGCTGGTTCAAATAGTAGAAGTGCTCCAGCCTTAGGCCTTGAGAGAAATCCTTCCCAAACACAAATTTTACTCATATCCTATTTTTCAGTCAGTGTTTGTTGTTTCGAGAAGCGATCTGATTGAAGCGCCTCCTGCTACCTTTATTGTGCAAAGTGATTTTACGCTCTAGCAAGAAAATGAACCTTGTTGGTAACCCATTCATAAAAGTGAAAACACCCCTCCTTTTTTGTACCCTAACCCATTTGGCAGAGCCTCAAACCAAGGTTAGACAAAAGTCAAAGAAACTATCTTTGCTTGGACTTTGAAATACAGACCAGGCTTCCCTTGATGTCACTTATTTTTGAGCTCCATCATTTCCTATTTTGCTGCAAAACGCGATTATTTGTTAACAAAAAGGTAGTCAAGTGGTTCTCGCGGTCTCTGAGATGAGGTTACGATTTGACTCTCATGCTGCCTGTATAATATAAATTTTGAAGAGTTCTTAAACTACTAGACCGTCGAAACTCTTCGGCTTTGTGACAATCTGCACTCGAAAGAATACATGTTTGTACGATGCAACATTCTTGCTTGATCCTTGACCCAAAGTTATTGTAACTCGTCGGTACACTTCACAACGGCATAAGAAAGTAGAGAACATGGTCTATCAGAAGGTATACATTGACCTGAATTTTAAGAATATAGAATTGTTTCTTTACCTTGGAAGAGTTTAGCTATAAAAGGACATGCATATCTTTTGGAAAAAAAACAAACTTTCACTGTGTATATCGAGATCGGCTACATTCTATATCCAACCCAGAAAGGTCTTCGCTACAGTCTATATACGACCCTGAAAGCTCTTCCACGTGGGACCAAGTATTTGTGGGGTTAACGGCTAGGACTTTCTAATTATAGTAAATCTGCAGATCAAAGATTTTAGGGACGTACATCATGTGTACGAGACCTTTAGGACTTTAGAACCAGCAAAATAAGCGCAGTGAGACGACAAGGTTGGACCCTGCAGCAGCTTTGATTTTTTGAAAAGTAAGTCACATTATTTTGGAAGTGCTGACGCTTAGCCCACCTTCGAAATGAAAAGCTCTCTACACTCTGAACGATCACTAAAAGCAGAATTAGTGCCAGTCTCGACATGTAATGCTCAGATCTGAGTGGGAGATAAAACTTTACACCAAAAGTTCATTATGCTCAAAGGGAAGTGCATGGGAAAGAAATTCCTTCCATTGAAAACTCAAAAGACTTCTATTCTAGAAATTCTGGAATGCCTTTGCATATATAATGACGTCGCTTATGAGAAACACTCAAATTTGC